ACCACATACAGGAAGTGTAGTGCGTTTAAACCTCTTGAAACCTTTAAAGTGAAAAGCTCTCAAATGTCAATAATAGGCTAACAGAGGTGCAGGCAACAATCAAGCTGTTTGTTACTTATTACTTACGCAAATTGGCATAGTAGTGGAATATTGAGAACAGAATGATAGAAACTATTACTGGAATGTATTTTACGTAATGCTTCCCGCGAGGATCCTATCCTACTTGATGGAGTGCATATTCTATAGAACTGACTGAACGTCAACTTGGCATGTGTCGGAATTGTTAGGCACGCCGCACAATACAAACAGCATCGCACTAAGACTCAAAAAAACAGGTCAGATGCAGAAGTTCCGACTTACGCAGAGTCAAAAACGTACGCACTACGCACACTGGAAAAAAAAATCTATCGCTTGGGCTCATCTGCTTGTCGCATGAATCATAAGCGGCGTTATGTACACCCTACTACAACGGGCAAAATATTATCAGCCGGCAAAACAAAAAGATAAAGCTGGATGTACAGTATGTATGTGAAGTACAGGGTGTACTATGTGAACTGTGAATGTAAAAGTGTGAATCTACATGGCGCCGGTTTTTTTGTAATAACAGTACTCACATTTCAAAACACTCAGCCGAGCAGGCCTCATAGTACGACTCGTAGATTGAAAATTAAGATTATACAAAGTGTAACACCGTTTACCGTTCTCGGCCTGGTTTGTAGTCTGCAGTCAAAACACTATTGGTGAGCGTGTTAAAAAAGCGCTGCTACATTAAACTTTAATAACTGTAATTTTCTCTTCAGAAGTGATAACGTTAATAAAGTCATTCAACTTATAGTAACACGGTTTCTCTACCAGTCTGAAACTGTTTATCGTGAATCATACTCAAGGAGTGTTATTAGGTACGTCTAATCTAATTCGCATTACAGTGCTCGAAATTTTGAGAAACTCAATGATTTTTAACTGCGAAAATACGAGCACCAGTAACATTACCATTCATTAGCTGCACGTTTACCGATCAAAAAATTAAAGTTTTTGATCGGTAAACGTGCAGCTAATAGTGGTGTCGTTATAAATGATTTTTTATGTACATTTAGCCCGCGGTCAGTTTAGTTTTTATGGACTGTGCTATTTCAGTTTCCTTAAGGGACTTGGCCCGGTACATAGCACCAAATTCGTGTATATCCACGGGAACTTTCGCTATTGCACACTCCCAGTATAAGTGGTTGTGAAATCCGTTTGCGCGCGCAACAAATTTTAAAATTCATTTCAAAATTCCAAAAAAAATCGTAGTAGTCTGGATCCGTACTAAAACCATCCTCATGGTTATGTGCATTTACGTGCAAATTTGAAAGGAATCGGTCCATAATGAGACTTTCGGTACACCTGAATGCATTTGAACTTTTTGGAAATAAATACCATAAAGCAGTGCAAAAAAGTGTTTGGAAGTGCGCGATAGCGAAGTTCCCGTCAATGTACACGAATTTAGTGCTATGTACCGGGCCAAATCCCTTAATCAGCGTTGTTGCGTACTGTATATTTTTCATCCAGGTCAGTCAGACGATATGCAGACGATTAACACCTAAAAATAAACTGAAAACTAATGTTTCGTCACGTAAATTAATAAACAGCAGAAATAAGCGGGCTAATCACAGAGAACATTTTATTTAAATTACCCGAAACAGGTCACGTTATGTAAGCAGTACAAAAATACGAAAATGGTACTGCCACTCTCCAGTAGTACAACATAAATTATCTAAACAAATTACAGAGTCGTTCTTGAATTAGTTTAAAACCGAGAATGGTACTAGTGCAATGGTACTAGAAAATTAATTTTGACTAAGTAAATATGCGTATCATTAATTTTGCATACTGTTTTGTACAGCATTGTACGTGTACAGATACGGTGTGGTGTGTACTTAATAGTGCAATGTTGTGCTGAAGTACTGCTATCCAAAAAATGAAGTGGAAAATTAGATTAATGAACTAACAAATCTGTTCCAGACTTTTATTTTGCCAGTTGTTTCCATAACAGCAAGCCAGTTATGTTTCGGGTTTGAATATGATAGAAGTATTTATCTAAATCATTGTTGGCGGTACAAATTAAACCACCAACTTTTCACATGCGCGTTGCTGCGCATTACAGTGCCTACTTGAATTATGCACTATGAATAAATGTGTTAGCTACCAGCAGACGGTGATTAACTGCTTATGTTCACAACTTCACATCTATCACTTAATTCGATTGCATACGCATATTACAGCGGCGTGCCTTCAGGAATTGCAGCAATTGTACTTTTACGTGTCTGGTCATTCTTTTTATTACGGTAATTTGCGCAAACGGCAAGAAGCAAACTGACCTTTTGAAATTTTGTATGCCGGCGCTTATTTAGGCACTTCGTTCATGGCCAGTGCTGTTTCTTTACAAATAAAGTGCCTGTACTCAGGGCACTGGCAAAGTTTCAGAACTCTACAGTTGATCAAGCGCTCTGAAGTTCGCCCGCTTACGAAATGTGCCACATTTTATGTGGCATCTGCCAGGTTTTATCGTTTGCCAGTTGCCAGAGCCTCCTCCAGGTTTTATCGCTCGCCATGCCATTGGCAGTGCCACTGGCAGGTGCCAATGCCACGTTTTACCCCCTGCCCATTCTACAGTATTTCTAAACCTGATTTTAATAATTTTTCTTCTTCCGTTCTTACGGGACGACGTTCTTCTAAGTTAGGTCTGCGATCTGGCCGCACAGTGAACTGGTGTTTCTCTCGCTTTTGGTAATCGTGATCATAGCGGATGTATGTTGTATTTCTGTTTTTAGGTGCCATGGATTTTCATGCTTATGTACATAAAAGCCAAGTATCTTCCAAATTTATTATGCAAACTACACAAACCGCTTCTCTGGTATGACAACAACAAAGCACGGCGGCCGTTGTGGTCGGTGATTGCAGCACTGTTAGCTCTGCTGTGGGTCATCGTGACCTTCATCGCACCGGTATTCCACCTAGGCCAGGTCATCCGGCAGAACATCATTTACGAATGGTACAATGATCTCAACGATACCTGGAGCACTCCTGATACGAAGTTCTTCAACCTGATCGCCGCTCCGTCCTGGCTGTGGCTGGCCGTGGAAATCATCCATAAAGGGGTCATTCTGGGCGTGACCAACGGCAGCCAGATGTTGACGTTCTTGGTGGTGCTGGCCATTGGGAAAGGCTTTCGTGATCAGTGTCGTCTGTTGAAGAATAACACGGTTAATGATCGCAAACCGGGTTTGGAGGCGTGGGTGTTCTGCCGGCGAAATACGGCGGCATTACTGGATATCGTCTATATAACGAACGACATCTTTGGCTGGATGAACCTGGTTGTCTGCATGCAGGATCTGCTGAATCTTATTCACTATGTCGCACTCATGCTACAGGAGATGATTCGCGAGCAGACACAGGATGAAGACACGTTTGAGGATCAGAGGTTTGAGAAGAAACTAATTCAGATACAAAACGTGGACCCGCTAATCATGTCCGTTGTCGATCTGGCGCTACGCTTTGCGGTGTGCAGTTATTGCAATGAGCAGGTAAATATTCGCGCTAGAAGCTGAATTGTCGGTTCACATTGCCACCGGTTTTCAGGGACAAAAGTTGGGCTTTCTGGCGCAACAGTGCACTCTACAGTCTGATGATGTGAAAGTACAAGATGAATGCCAAAAGATCGTCACCGCAGTGTCCCGGAATGGGAGTACGACGATTTCTGCCGGTGGATTTGCGCAGATTACAAAGGAGTATCTCGCTGCGGTAACAATACCATCAAGACCGCGATCTAATACAGCAGCATCTTCTGTGACAGTAGCGTGCAATTAATTTATCGTTTTTTTTGTTGCAGTTGGTCGGATTGTTCCTGACGTATTTCATTTTGATTTATCAAGCCCGCGATTCCAAACAAGAGATGAGAAAACTCCAAGACGGCATCAAGAGCGACATCAAAGGGCAGATTTCAAAGTTTTCTAAGCTACCCACTAACTGAAGATATTTGTGTACGGACTCAGTAAAAACTACATAATCGCTGGCATGGAGAAACCGTTTACTGTATTTGATTTTTGTGTATAGAGTAATAAATACAGGAAATAGCAAACCCCAGTAGTCCTTCCGCTTGTTATATAACCACGAGTCGCTCATTAGCCTCGAAAAGGGTAATGCGCACGCTCCTCAGAAAATTCCATTGTATACATATGCGTGTACAGGAGCCTGAACTCACCTTGTATGTTTTTTTTCGAGTATACGAATTTTTCTTGCTATACGAAGGGATGGCGGTAGCGCATTTCAGCACTCCCTTTACTTGCTGCCGTCAGCCAGATGGAGTAAGACGTTGCGGCAATACATATGGCTAAATCAAATCTGGCGCGGTATATACAGTATAAAGCACCATGCTTAACCACAACGTCGTACTCCAGCCGGCTGACGGCAGCAAGTACAGGGGGTACTGAAATGCGCTACCGTCATCCCCTCGTTTAATTTTTTAGGTACCGGTATACTTCTTCATATGAATCTTCAGGAGACGAAAAAATCTTTATTGTTAGACTTCGCACTGAAATGTCAAGAAAATTGATACAGTCTGGGGCGCCGTCTAACAGGAGTTCCGATTTTTAATTTAGTTTTTCAGAGTTAAATTTAATAGTGCACAAAGTAATTACGCAATTTACGCGATTTTTTTATAAGTATGACTGCACGAACGAATACAGAGGTTGCAGCTAATAATGAATGTGGTCATTATAAGTTGCAATCTCTGTACTTAAAGTATTGTAAGTTCGTAGGAAACGCGCGTGGAGGTGCAGTGTGCTACGCAAAAAAATAAGATATCGCCGGAACTGACGTATCTTCTGTAGCGCAATCAATATTGTGATCGCAACTTATACAGATACTGTCGCTGTGAATTCTGATCAAATCGCTCTAAAATAATAAAGTAGGCAAAGCATTGCTACGAGTATATTACTTGTATATGTCAAACAGAGCTCAGGCACTCGGCATATCATATGGCGCTGATGTTGTTTTCGTACTACCGTACGTTTCCCCAGCCACCGTTGTTTGCAAGTTTATATTGTCATTGAACGTCATTAAATATCATAGAAAAATGTTGGGTTGCTTTTCTGTGATCTTTCTGAATCTGGCATTACTCGGATCTGTAACATTACAAGGTGAGAAAGTCAAAAATTTCGTCATTCCTCAAAACGTCATACATGGGTATAGGTTAGCGTTGTCATATTTGCAGTATCTGCGTGGACCGGCCTGACGAAGCCAGAAAATTATTGGCCCAGTCCACAATGTATTCCTTACCATATAAGCTCGAATTTCGGTACATACTGATACGCTTTGACAGCCAACTGAAGTTAATTTTTAGCATATAACCAGTCGAAAACAGGGACAGCGACATCAGGAATTGCGTCTCTCGCACCTTGCCACCAACTGCTTTATACATTATAGTAGAGAATATATATCATGAAACTAATTTCTATCGTACAATAATTTTAGATGCAATAACAACGCTACGTATTAAGGATGCGCTTGGGACTATAGTAAATGAAACACGATCGTGTGTGAAATTCAAACGGCGTACCGATGAGAAGGAATATATATGGTTCGAGCTAGTACCAGCAAGGAGCAGGTTCGTTGTGAATTTCGGTCTTCAGTTTTCCTGCCGTTTGTTGTTAAGGACAGGATAAATATACAGACTGTAGAGACAAAATAATATATTTTCCCTATCACGGTTTAAGGGCCAATAAATTATAAAAATGCTCATAAAATAACACAGAAATATCGTTAAGGTTTTTGTATTACCCTTTGCTGGCGTACCATACGGCCTTACTCGTATGACATTGTCTCAGCAAAATCTTTTAATTTCTTAGCTGCGCAGCAGCGGTTGGACGATCGTCCGGTAGGACTACCAATATCCGTCTCTCCACCGATTGCACGAAATCTTCCGGTACCGTTATCCTTAAAATTTTGCATGCGCTAGGATTTTTTTACGAACATCAGCGTCCCGACCGCGACCAGTATGTGCAAGTTCTAACAGACAATATACTCGTAAACCAACGCTCACGGCAATACTACGCAATTCTTCCCAACATGTCTTCGTTTGGACTGCCTTACGACTTTCAGTCCATCACGCACGCAGGTCCATTCGACTTTAGCATTTCTATGAGGAAGCCGGCGTTTGTGCCAAGGGCTAACGTATCCATGGTTATGGGTCAGCAGTCCCAGTTAAGCCCTTTGGATATTGCCCGCATACGCGCGGCCTACGCATGCGATACAAAGCCCGGAAAGTCTCGTTCTGCCAAATGCGCGCCAGATTTCGGGGACGACAATGATGTTCCATTTTCCACCGATAGTTCAGGTCAGTCGCTATGCCAACATTCCTTGGAACCTTTTTTTCCAATTGCATTAGGAAAAATTAGTCAACTGTTCAAATATGGTATCGAGTGGTTTTAAAAACAGCTCGTAAAAGCTGGATACAAGCTGTAACATAAAAATTATGGCATACGTCCAATTTGTTAAATTAGTTGTGGAGTCCTGTTCTTCCAGTTTACTATCCCATATAGGTATTTGCTATTTCAATTCGATTCACAGCGTTCTCTCTCCGCAGATGATAATTACACATGTTTCAAAGCCAGGGTCATGGCAATGAAATGCCGGTCAAGCGCGATAGATATTCCGGTATTCGATCCCGATAAGTCGGACGCTGCTGCCGCTGTTTTCGTTAGCGATGCCACACCACGTTGCGTAATTATGTTCCACAGTTTCTATTACTTTCTTCTCGAACTGGCTAACGCCACTGCGCCTGCTGCTTCGCAATCGTGGGAATCCGCTAGCCCTGCTGTTATGTTCCGGTGTAACGATAACTCGTCTTCTGTATTGGGTCCGGATCTTACCGTTCTTAACTCAAATAAAATTATCATCGACACAGATGGCAGCTTTGCTTGTCGCAGCGCCTTCTTCAAATTTCTGCAGTTCGTAAAAACCGATTTTGTGGAAAATGGAGAAGAGGCTGTGGACTCATTGGTCCCATCCATCATCCCGATTGACGAGTGGGCGGATCGATTGTCACACTGCCCGGAATACGAGCGTTCTCTCGTGGTTAAATGCACGACTGGCATTGTGACCTTTTCGGAGCCAAATGGGACTACATACAAAATAATTGTGGCAAGTGATAACACCTTTCGCTGTCGACAGTTTGTCGTGAGCCTCCACGAACATATTGTTGCAACTCCAACCTATCAAGTATCGCATGGCCTGTCGGTTCGCAATTCCATTGTTGCGGTTTGTCAGCAAGGCCGGACTGTCATTTCGGATGCTAATCCAAGAGACTCAGAAAAGATCAATCTTGTGTTCTATTCCGCACCGAACAAACTCTGCCAGGATCATTTTCGTACATTCCTAAACTTCATTCGCGACAGAGCAACCATAAAAGGTAACGGTTCCTGTTGACATCGGCAGCATTGCAACAAGCGAAGCACAATGAGATATTTTTATTATTTTTCAAACGTCTCTTGGTATCGAAGCTTCATAACAGTAAGTAATTATTGCAAGTCCTGCTTTACCTTGTTTTCTGCTCTATTGGGCGTGATGCCATCTATGACTGTACCTGTAGCTTACAATTTCAATATTTTTATTCCTGTTTGTTTGCGTATAGTACGTAGTTCAGAAAATGGATCCTGGATGCAGTAAGAAGATAAATAAATTGAAGAGTATTATCGAGTATTACAAATTAAGAAGCTGTTAAAATATTACATTTGTGTCCAATAACCCCAATTACTGTGCAAAAATTACAATACTGTTTTCGCCAGAAACTTGGAAGTGTACTTGCGTTTGAAATCCGACATTGTAGCATTAGCATTAGCAGCTTCATCCTATACGATCTAACAAAATGCATGTAAGCGCTTTCAATAAGCCGAGTCGGTCTTGCTCGAAGCATGTAACTTATATAACGGCTTCACGAGCAAATGAACAACTTCCACTTTGTGGGCATGCATCTGCTACTTAAGTGGACTGTGTTGCTCGCTCCTTATTTGTCAGCTGAAGATCTATTTCGATTCCCGACACACTGAAATAAAACAGCATTAATGCTGTGTCAGAAGCAACTGACAGTTAGCACAGCTGTAGCTCATGGACAGCACGCTACGAAAAGTGTGGAGAGTGGATCGTAATTGTTCCGTGTTGTATCAATGTGTTGACGTACTAAACATCAATAAACTCCAAACGTAAACCCTTATGCGATACTGCCAACTGCTTATAGATTTTGTTAGATTGTCGAATAGTTTAGAGGTATGGGAAAGACGCTTTTGGAAAGAACCAACGATCCACCAGAAATCGTTCCACGATACTTATGGAGATGCTTTCAGGTTTTGGGTTTGCTGCCGGTATCTTTTCCAGACCTCAAGCATCCTTCCGGTCATCGCAACGTTGTGCTTTTGCGAGTATATTCCGCTCTCATTGCAATAATTTCTGCAGCGTATATTGTCATACGGTTTGGGAGTTTCGCTGATATGTATTTGGAGAGATTAGAAAGTCTGGAAATGTTCACGCTGGTCAGCTTTATTTGTCTGATTTCGTTTAACGCCCAAGTAAGACAAGAACAACACCAAATGGTAGAGTTTCTCTTCAAAAACAACTGCTAGCGAAATTTCATTCATCATAATATTCGTACAGTTCTGACCATGTTGAATGACTATATTAAATCAAAAATGCGGTCGGTACTCCGGCTGGCCGAATTTGCGAACACGTGCCCTTCGATGTCACATTTTCGGATGCTGTTTACTGAGCGGAACAGACATACGATTTCAGACAAAGCGGTCGCGTGGTCCCTTTATCTCGTACCGAGCATACCATGTCTATGTACGACGAACTTAGAGTGTCCGCAGCTGTCGTACAGTGAACAGGAGTCCTGAGTACGGGAGCGCGCGACCGCTTAGTGTTGAACTGTACAGTGTTTGTTAATATTACAGTCTGTATTTTATCAAACAACCTTTTACTTCGACTGCCTTGTAAAAGCGTTCTACTGCTTTCTCAAGCAGCGTTTTAGTTAAGCTTTTGTTAAAGGAAATACTACGACTATTTTGAGTACATTACCTTTTAATCCGAGAGAGGATAAGGATTGTGGTTGTTTTTTCAATGTTAAACTTTTTACTATTTAGTGTACCAGCGCTTGCACTTATTGATGTATCAAACAAACCGTACTAATTTTGCAGATAACAAATAAACTATAAGTACGGCATTAGGTGGTCTTCTTCTTCGGTTTTTGTTTATTGCATATACGGATATGGCCGAACACTTTCTGAGTAGGTATTCATGGTTCTTCTCGCCATGGCTGTCAAAGGCAAGCACATTCCCGACCTGCTGTACAAACTCAGAAATCAAGACCTCTGGCATGGTGCGCAGCAGCAGCTACGCAGTTCAACGGTTCTGCCAGCTGTATCGCTTATCTGGATTGTTGTCACCTTTTCCATCCAGTTCACGTCCATTGACCACACAATGAATGAATGGGAAGATTTTGATGCTGACTTTGAAGAGCGTCTGAACTCGACCTGGGATGATCCCGAGGACATCTTCTTTGGTCTCATCAGCGGACCCAGCTGGATGTGGGTTTTTCTGGATGTCATCCACCAAACACTTCTCCTGTCCATCAATACTGCCAGTCAAATGCTTAACTTTCTAATTATCTTTTCTGTCGGAAAGCTCTTCGCAACTCATAGTAGAATATGTGAGAAACTGTACAGTGATCCGGAACACACAAAGGTGACTCTAGAAACTTGGAAGATGTGCCGGCAAAATGTGCGCTGTCTCTTGGATATCTTGAAGCAGTTTAACGATATATTTTCCTGGATTACTCTGGTTGTCTGCGTACAAGACCTGTTGAACCTCGTACACTTATCGGCGGTTGCACTGCAGCAAGTCGTTTTATCCAAGGGTGACGACGTGCAGCTGACGTACATGCAAGCGTCCAACCGGCAAATCCTCCTGGTGCAACTTGCGGTTCCGCTGATTGTGTCCGTAGTGCATTTGATACTGCGCTTTAGTGTGTGCAGCTATTGCGACGAGCAGGTATGTGTGCTGATTAATTAAATAATGGTATTGAAGGGTCATTTTTTAGGGTTGTGTTTGCTGTACAGGGACGACGGCTGGGCTTTGTGGCTCAACAGCATAGTCTAGACACCGACGATCCTCAGATCCGGGAAGAATGCCAAATGATTCAAGTGGCACTGCTAAACACTAACAGCACGACTGTTTCTGCTGGTGGATTTGGTTACATGACGAAAGAATATCTATCAGCGGTAAGGAGTTCTCCCAGTCCAGAAAAACTTCTCTTGTATTCTTATCGAACACTCTCTTGTATCACAAATGTACGGAGGCACAGATTTGTTCGAGGCACTCTGCTTCCACGACATTTCTGACAATTTTGGGTTGCAGCTTGTCGGACTCTTCTTGACGTATTTCATCCTCTTGTACCAAGCCCGGGATTCAAAGCAGGATTTTCGACTTCTGCGCACTGATCTGTTTAAGGAAATCAGGGCACAATTCGGATTACTTTTGAACACTTCATGCGGAAATATTACAGGCTCCGGTATGGATCAAAGCGTTGACAATCCGAGTACAGAGGAATCCGGCAGCGGCTATGGCGAAGAAGACTCGGTTTACAAATGATCATATCTTGGAGTGATGTGCTTATTCTTCAAATTGTTTCGGGGCGCGTCGGTGTTTTCACCGTTGTAAGAACTGGTTACTTAAATCAAACCCTTCGTATGTACATATTTGTATAAGGTGTTGTTCGTATAAAGTAGCTAGAACCAGGGAAAGGCAACTAGTTGTGATTATCCAGATGTACACGAAATAACGACAAGATTTCACTAACATATCATTTCCATAAAGGTGGCTGTTTTGTTTTGATAAGTGTGTACACTGCATAATACCAGCCCGGCAACCGATAACGCTTCCATATAAGCAACAATAAGACGGCATTCTGACATTCCCGTAAAGCCTCATAAGAACCCTTGCGACATATTCACCAGAGACTGACAATATTTTTTACACTACCACACGCCATTCTTCTGTACTGGATTCATATAAGAATCCGCTGAGCAGTTGAAAGCCTTTGAGAATTCGTCATAGTTCTGCATGGGTCCGATGACTCGGAACCGTCCAGGTGCATGCGGGTCTGCGAAATAAAGTAGTTGGTAATGCGCATTGCTTTCGTAAAAGGTGCGGACGGTAAATCAGCAATGGTCCTCGCCAGTTTAATGAAAGAACATCTTACTTCTCCGGACGTCAATATATAACCCCAAGTCGGTGTATGAGCTGCACCATGCCTAAAACAATATAACAAATGTAGCTTTAGTCAGTCCATATATCGTACCGTAGAACTGAAAACAAACTAGTAGTGTACACTAAGAACAGACAAGTATACAGGACAAGTGTACCTGGGCATTGGCAATAAAAAATAATTGCTCTGCAGAAAAAAGAATTGTCAGAACTGCGGCATTAAGTTCCGAAGTCCGATCTAACGGTATATTCTCGTTGAAATACAGTTAACCTACCTGCGTTGTAATCTAATCCTGGAAGGGGCAACTCTGCTTTTCCACCCCGCTCTCGGCTCACAAATAGACGGTATGCCTACAAAATCAGCACATGTACATTGTACATGCAGATGCTAAGATGCAAAACCACAGACTGATAATTTTACTGAGAATCTCTCGATACTTCCGCAAACATACAAAATGATCCTGGAACATTTACACATTAACATGTATCATACGCTGTCAAATACGTTAACAGAATCAAGATAATTAATTATCTTTAACACAAACACTTGGCAGCTAATTATGGAGAACATTGAAAATACCTAAGGTATCCTATTAAAATACCCTACCTGAAAAGCCTCTTTAAGAGCACCGTTATCGGCAATGTTTTCTCCGATAGTTAATGTCCCGTTGACTCGCTCGCCTTGCATCTCATAGCCGTTGTACTGTTGGACCAGCCCCATCTTTCGTTGTTCGAAATTCATCCGCGATTCAATGTCCCACCAGTTGACCAGGTTACCGTAGCCATCAAAAAGCGAACCTATTGTGGTTTGACTGTGAATGTACTTTTCCAGTTTCTACCACCAAGCGCTTCAACCAAAACTTACCAATATCATCGAAGCCGTGAGTGATTTCATGACCGATGACTGTCCCGATAGCCCCGAAATTCCACCAATCAGGATAATCGTCACCGAAGAACGGCGGCTGCAGAATGGCAGCCGGAAAAGCTATACGAATAAAATGTCAAAAACTTGAGCTGATGTCATATAATGCAATAATTCGAGCAGCCTTACTAATGGACGCAAAGTTTGGTATGTACCACGCGTTGATGGTTGCCGGACCGAACAACCACGAGGTTGTACCCATTTTCGTTAACAACGCCTGACCCTCCGACAAGGCCACGAATCGTCGGTAATTTATGGAATTGGCAACGTACGAATGTTTCGACACACTGAACTGCAAGCAATTACAATGATAGCATTTTTCTGTGTTATCAATAGTAGAGCGTAAAATCTATCGGGATTTACGTTTCGGTAGCCTTCGTCCAGGGCTTCTGGTGAATCGACAATGGCATCATCATACCCAATATTGACTTTAAAGAGCTGTGCTTTTCGCAGTGCTTCTAAGCGAGTTGTAGCGGTCATCCATTCGGAGTCCTATAAAGCAGACGCTTGCTTTACAAAAGGTTGTCCCGGAACAAAGATCCGAAGTGACCTTTACCAGGATAATCGATCGCAACGAGTTGAATAAATAGTCCACTTTTTGCTCCAACTAAAATAAGAAGAAAATCGTCACTAACCCTTAACATGGTAGAGTAGACTAAAGGAGAACATGAGCAGCGGTACGAACTAGGTGGTGAGCTGGTTCGCCAAATAGAGTAACTTAAGGATTCTGCCGATGCCAGAAACGATTAAGTGCGCAAAGCATCGTAATCCGCTTGTTAAGGGTCTTCATGCAGTGTTCTACTGGAGCCACTGCCCCATTAAGACGACTTCAACGACTGCGCGAAATGTTTTAGGCATCGTAGGCGTATATGCTGAATACATATTAAACTACACTGTCTTAGCAAGTTTGCAAGTTTCTTAGCAAGTTTGCATAATCATGAACCCGGAAACCTTCGTAGTTCAAACACAAACGTTTCACCTGTTTTTCTTTGTACAACCTTACCCGTTTCTTTGTGTCTTTATGGAAATGCTCCATCACATACAGTCGGCCAACGGGATCAGGTAGCTCCAGTTGTGTTCGTGTTATGCACGTCACCCATCGCTCGGTAGCTTCGGTGATGCCGGCTGCAGCGGCTAAATATCGCCGTGTAATATTGGAGAAATCCTCGCCCAATCGGCTCGTAAAGGATGTGGCAAGTTGGAAAGAGATGTAATTCGCATACAGTCTACAAAAATGTTTTGGTTACGGTTCGTTTCTGTACAGCTCAATGACCGATACACATAGTTAATAGCGCACATAGTAAATTTCTTCTATTACCTTCGCACCTCCGAATCATTTGCAGCGTTACCGAAGAAATTAATAACAGCTTGATAATAACCAGGCTCCATTACGTTGACAATCGTGCTGGCGTTGACCAGATCGTTGACTTGCTCATTATCCCACGCATTGCGAAAATACTCAACCAGTTTGTCCGTTGGCAGTCCCAAATGTTGCGTCGCGCCGGTGGCGAACTGCTCCATGGTCATTTTATGTGTCGTGATTTGTTTATTCTTTGCTTGCACCGGCGACAGTTTGTTCTGGTAAGAAAAATAAAAAAAATTCCAGAAAGTATAGAGGATAATGTTTTTAAGGAAACTCACCCTGGAAGTGGCAGCTTCATAGTCGTAGAACTCGAGAGTCAGTGTCTCCGCCTCTTCCGTCGATAAACTCATATTGGCTTTGCGGGTAAAGGTCAGCAACATATCCATCATCCACGCTTGGTAGTGGGACAGATGGGTGGTGTTGGACCTTTTCAGGTACGCCTGCGTGTCGGGTCCGTACTGGCCAGCGATAAACACAATAATCGGTTTGGTGGAGTCTTCTGTATCCGGGCTGATACCGGCGGTGATGATGTTCAACGACTGTCCGTATTTGCGGGCGTTAATCAGAGCCTGTGCGATTTGTTCCATGGTGGGAATGGTGGCGTTTTCACGGTACGGGAAGCTGGTAATTTGTGGGAAGATATCCTGCAGGAATTGTAGGTAGTAATCAAAGTTCTTCGGTGCTTCCAGTGCGACTGTCAACAGAAAAGCGTTTTTTGGGAATTGATAAGTAGTCTTCATGCAGTGAAGCACCTTCGTCGACGCACGTTCCATAATAAAACTGAGCTTTCTCCGTAGCATTCATTTGGGCAATGTGGTCCTCGCTTTCCGTGAAAGGGTCACGACTGGGCTCGAGAAGTTCTGATGGCAGTAATAAAAATATTACTTCTCTGCGTTTTTCATTATATTGTAGCTTATAAGGGTAAAATAATTTTGAGGGGAACCTACCATGAAGAGCTTGATTCAAATCGACGCCTAAAAGTCCAAAAGCATCCCACTGGTTCGCGGTTAATGGCATGGGATGGGACTCCGCCCATGTGCCGCAAGCGAAATCGTAGAAGTTATCGCATGGGTTAACACTCCTGGACGATAAATATAACAGCAATTTAAATAAACATTAGCAACCAGACTAACAATTCAGTGACATTATTGACAGTATTTAGGAAAAAACACACTTGAAAAATAAAGCAAAATAATGAAGACATTAAAATTAACATAAACCAGCATCAAAACGTTACATCACTATTTGTACTAAGTGCACATTACTTTCAAATCGTACGAGTACATACCTGTTCATGGATCGCTGAAGAGCATTCGCTGTAAAAAAAGGAGACATGAGCAAAATGTATGCTGCTCTTTACGCAACATGGTTTGGGAATCGGAATATTTTAAAGGTTCAGTGATTCTATAACGCAGTCAACGCACCCCATGCCGCCAATCTTCTTCTGCTTTGCGTTAGCACAGACTTAAAAATGTATTTCCTGATTTTCGTAGTAACAAGCTGAAAACGTTGTCTCCACACATATTTTGGGCTGACACACTTGTAAGTTATAACAATCCCCTTACCAGCTTTCAAGCAACCCCCACTGACGCATTCGGTTTCGGAAAAGGGCGTTTCTGTCGATGTGGTTGCCGGCGGTGTTGAGTTTGTGACCGGTGACGGTGATGTAACCGGCAAAGTGGAATTAGTGTCTGCCAAAGATGCTGTTACCGGCGCGGTAGCGTTCGTTATCGGTGTAGTTGACGTGACCGATACCGTGGAGTTGGTAACCGGCGTAGAAGGCGCAGTTACCGGTGGTGAAACCGGTGATGAAGTATCACCTGGTGCTGCAGTCTAATGATCCAAACAAAAGCTGTGTTTAAAAATGGCAAATTAAACAATAATTCCAGAGTGCTAGAAATAGTGGTTTAAAGTAATTTTCCGCGCAGCGGTATCATTTAATACCTCAGCAACAGTTTTGTCGGACAGCTAGTGTATTAAATCGACATAAATAACAATTAATATGTTTACCGGTGACGTCGATTTGTCTTCGAAGTACAGAACCGCGAAGGTAACCGTTAGCATCACGAGAGCCGAAACAACCAAAGCGAGAGAAAAGGCTAGCGCCTTATTATTAGCAATCGCACCTTTCCTGCAAGGAAAAATTTAAACTGTTGTGCCACTGTGATTGATGTTAGTTTTAAAATGGGTTATTTAAAACACTTACCCCATTTTAGGTGTTAAAATCCTTATGATAAGAATTTGAATCAGCAGTTCAGCCCTCAAGCCAGATTTAATAAATCAGCTGGAGGTGATCACAGCTATTAAACTGTATTCTCGTCCACTATAATAAATCGGGCAAATCCTGGCAAAACTGCACAGGATATTTACTATAATTATGCTCTGGCGCTGACTGACAAAAGTAGGCATCCTTCGGAATGTCAACGCTTTATCGCTCCAAATTTCGTAACTTGTACAATCGTTTATGCAATGCATATTGTAAAGATTACAGCCACTAAACACAGTAACTGCCATATTGTGACAATTATATTTGATATCTGCTCTCTGTTGTGAATCTTACTTTATTATTAATTTTATATACGTGTTGCTTTCGGTTTCCCTGATAAGATGTGACACATATCTTTACTCACCGCACCAATAATACATATAATCGTGTGAAACTACGAATCGATCCACTACTATGACGAGCCGTTTATGACGAGCCGTTCGTGCAAAAAGGTTTTATGTATGTTATGTTACTGATGATATGCTTGTTATGATTGCCATGTTACGCTTGTTATGTATGTTATGTACGTTAATAATGCTATGTTATCCATGATACTGTTTTGTGCTTCATTTTAAATTCTTCATATATTATTATTACATTTGCTTCGAATTCCCAACGAGAAATCTTTCAAGTTTGCACATATAAGTTTGGTGCGGGCTACGGACAAACGGTATCATAATATTGCCGGTACATGTAATACCTACATGCTGATCATATTGAAACGGCAAGTCCTCCGCGAAGTCATCTGTAATATTACAAAGTATCTGACGATGGATTATTTTATATACAGTATATCTTGAAGATATCCCAGACGACGCATGCCCGCCCTACGAGATCCAAAATAAACTTTTATTTAGCGCGCGTTTTTAGAGAATCTCAGTCATTAATACGAGCATTTGCATTTCTCGTAGCATTTGCTGGTACAACCATTCGATAAGTTAAAACCATTTACTGGGATATACATACTTCCCGTTAGCACAATTCAAAAACAAAATATAAATAGATATGAAGTCGGCCGGCGTATCAAAGAACAAACAGGAGAAGCGCGCGCTGTTCATTATTTATGGCAACGTATAAGTGTGGAAATTCAGCGCGGAAACGCGGCTTCTGTCCTGGGAACGGTCGGGTGTTCTCGAGAGTTAGAAGAGTTATTTTACTTGTTCTAATTATTGGGGTTTTTAAAGTTTGAATGTAAATGGCATTGGCTTGTACAAGTTGACAATAAATGACAATATACTGATAGATATATTCACTTTCAAATTCTGCGTAGCATTACACAACTACAGAGTGCAGATATAACTTCAACAATGAACTCTCAAACAGATTTGCACCATGTCAGTGTCCGTTATAACTTTATTTAATTAACTATTGTTACAAAAAATGATATTTAAAGAAAAATGACGTTGAAGCAAGTTGTTAGATCGGATTCGGAATGGAGTTTTACATATGGTTGTTCAGAAGTCCTATATGTCTCACGATATTGTCTCATCTGAAATGACAATGGCTAGGCACGCTACGCCTCGTATACCCTCGGCACGCCTGATTGTGCCGTTGTCAATTGGAAAAGTGTGACATGACGCTCTTCGTAGCGTCAAGAAGATTTGTGCTTATCGGAGCCTCTCGCTACGCTTGATTAGAAATAATCATACGTACTTTCAAAGTATGGCACACCGACATGTGTAAATACGTAAATGCACAATACGTAATTTAATACATGCTTGCTCTTGGGATCTTAATGGATGCAGAAGTGAAAGTTATATCGCGGCCATCCTAGCATTCGACCACAGTAGCAATGTACGCTCGGCACTCACTCTGTACACAATCACCCAACTTAAATTATTTAACTACATTAGCAACCCAGAATCCTACAAAATCCAAAGTGGAACCAATTGAAAGTTATTTAAACAACGTTTGTCGGAAAGCATAAACAATAATTACACTCTACGGGACGAGTGCGTGCCGATCGCGACTACTGACGATAATTAAGTACGCAAGTTTAAATTTAAGATATATACTGTATGCAACGGTTATTACGCAAGGGCGCCTGGCATAAAACCGGAGTAGAAAATTCCATTATAAATTGTCAACAGACATCAGCTTGGTGTAATCCATTCGCGATTCGTGTTAAATTACAGAATCGGTACATCGTAAACAGAAAAAGGTGACTTTTGTAAGGAAATCGTCTCGCTTAACCCACCAAAGTCAAATACCAGATGGAGTGCGAATGCCATTTTGAAAATTATTGGTGTTTTGTAACGAAATAATTCAATCAAAGAAATTAACTTGTATGGGAATTTCTGTGACCACAGGTCAAGCACGGCGATAGCCTGCCAGATTGACAGACCATTTGGAAGGTCACTCGTCGGAATTTATAGGGAATGATGGAAGATAGCACAGCAGAGCACTACCACACAAACTGGACCGCACTACTATTATCACAAACTGTTATGGTCATCAAGATAACCATGCAGTAATCACAGATAATAAAAATTGTGAAAAAAAGAAACACGTGTGGGTGGGGACATGGTTAAACAAATACAGCATTTTGTTGTCTTAAAATATGATACAGAAATGGTTTAACACCAGATAAAATCGGCAAGCTGCATGTTGAAGGTGATTTTCGTTTGTGACGGCGTAATAACGCTTGAAACGTCGATCTATGTATATATTGTTGCCGGTTGGATAAATACCACAGCAATTACAGCGGTATTTCACTGAATAGATACTACAGCAATAAACAGTGATTACGAGTTGATTCGAACTACGCTTTCCTAAAACTGTAAATAGACCGATAAAGGCAACAGCGCCTACCGACCGCGGCGACCGGCACTGCATTACCAGTAGTGTGTACAATATATAGCGCTTAGCTCCTACTCTACTCGGGTAGATAACTGAACCCGCAAGATCATATTATCCGTTTGCCGTTGTCGCACCTCGTCAACATGTAATACCGGCCAAATGTTAGGATACTGTAAAAAATCTGGATTTTTTTGCCCGATTTTCTGGTTTTATGTCAGGCTTTATGACAGAGTGAGATTTTAAACAGAATTTTTAGTTTAATGGGGAAGCAGCGCCATGCCCATCCCTGTCAAACTTGGCAGGGAATTTCTTAATGACCATCTTTGACCACTGCAAAGTTCCTTTTTTTAATCCGGGTATTGGTGGCCTGCATGACAAATTTCCGGGGTCAATGCATAAATGACACTCTCAAAGGGAATAACCCGGAATTATTGCTTTCGAGTAGCTAATTTTACTCCAGTCCCTCACACGATGATTCCTAATTATTTTTGCGATGGAATATGCTTTTGTCAAAGCATTGAATGGAACGGTTGCACACCCGAACTTGGATTTCATTTCGTTAGTACACATACCGGTGTATAGTTTCGACTTTCGTGTTAAAACAGGGTATTTTGCGATCAACACGTTTTGACTATGTATTTCACTACAACAAAAGTATTATTCTGTGTGTGTTTTATAAAAACAATAAGAATTTCGTACGGCCAACAGGATAACGCCACCACAACGGCGCCCGTTGAAACAACAACATTTGCATGGCGCACAGCCCAAGCCAAAGATTTTTTGCCGGCAAGTCTTCCTGCAATGAACGACAGCGTTACTTTACGCGGCTGCATTCTTATGGAGCGCGGGAATACGTATGATCTTCATGATTATGATAAATCCGCAGCGGCCATTGAATTAGCCGTGGAATGGGTCAATCAGAATGTGTTTCCCGCCAATCTCACCATGCAGACTATTTACGTCGATATCGGAAGTCGATGCTCGGGGAAACCGATGGTATTGTCGTATGCCATGGATTTATGGCAGAGAAATATTACTTGTAACGCGTATTTCGGTCCCGGTAAGAAAAGCGACTTTTGGCAAATGATATTAATTATATTACTAATTCAGTCTAATTGTAAGGAGTGCCATACTACAATGGACGACAAAAAGAGGTTGAAATCGACCGGCTAGAGTGCGATCGCGCCTCATCAACTTCTTTTTGTCGTGCTTCTTCTTCTTTTGTTCTTTTTTTTGTCGCCTCATCAGCTTCTTTTTTATAACTTCAAGGTATAGTATGATCACGAAGCATGATTATTTTGCAACCTGGTGCAACAGCACAAAAATTTAATAAACTTGAGTTATAACTTACTTCAGCGATCCGACGGGATTGCTGTGTTCCCAAACGCAAAAGTACCTTTCGCGATTACTACCCATACCCATACGCCATCTATATCACATACTGACGAGGTGTTATATATACTGTGTTTGTGTTGAAGATGTGTATGTGTTATATACTGTGTTTTTCCAATAGTATATGTGAATATTTTATTGAATATTAGCGATTCAAAAGCTGTAAACGAATATAGCCGAAAAAGCACATATTTTTGTTTACAGGATGCGGCACAGCTGCCGAGGTGTTGAATGACTTTGCCGAATATCTTGGCACTCCCATCTTTGGAATGCCAGCCGCTAGTGTCGGAATCAAAGCCCCATTTGCGAATTACAAACTGATGATCCGTGCATCGGTGTCCCATACATCCATGGCCTACGCCCTCATCCGCTTTCTAACCTACTTTAACTACACTACACCATATTTCTTCCTTGATACCTTCGGCACATTCTACCGCGAAATGCGTGTATTGGTATCAGCCACTTTTTTGCGTCGAAATCCAGAACTATATTATGGATCCAAGGGCAAACGCTTCGACAGCTCCATAACTACATATGAAGATTACAGACGCTATCTGCGGGCGGTGATGGCAGTTTCGCGAGGTAATAGCTAGCGCATCTCCATCTGTTCTTCGAAAGGGCACATTATTGATTCTCTATAGAGAACTCATGGAACAAACTAGAAATGTCAGTTGTTTACAGTGGTATTTATCATGGCAAACGCTTCCACGGTTCGCCAGATAATGTTAGCGGCACTAGATGAAGGAATGACATCAGGAGACTACGTAAAGACTTCTCCCGATGACTGCTTCTGCGTATCGCCAGCATATTTTTGTGTAACTTCCTCTAGGTTTTTATTGCTGTGGAATATTTCGCAAGCGATTTCTGGGGAAGATTCACGTGGAGATTTGACGATGACCGTGATGAGGTCGTTCCTAATTATACAATATATTAATCAGCGTCTTATTCAAGCACACCGTTTTGTACATTTGTACAATTTTAGGATGCACGCACAGCGTTTCGCACGCTCCTCTTACTATCCATACGATCACCGGTGGACAGCAGTCTGAACACGTTTTGGAGCAACGTTAAAAGGCGGTCTAGAAGGGAAAACTTTTACCGTTTCAGCGCAAATTCAGTTGTAAGCTCAACATTTAACGCCATATAGTTCTAGTAACTTGTATAAATTATAATGATACAGGTTTTGAAAATCAATTGTTGCAGCTGCAGCGTTAACAAAAAGATAATAATATAACGATAATTAAATTCGTGACACTCGCCGAAACCGCACCACAGGAGACCTTAGAACTTTTATTGCTTTGTGGGTTAAAAACTGGAGAACAACAAATAATTCATGGCGAGGCATATAGATCGACGATATGAATACGACAAGGAGAAGCCGTCTCTGAGAAAAAGAGAAGAGAACGGGGAGGGGAAATTCTGGTCAAGGAATATCGCATTAGGCAGCAAGTGAAAAACGCTAACATTAACCGTTCTTAACTTTGACAAGGCTTCATACTTTATTGTCGACGCATTGTTAACGTGAAACATCTTCTGTCTCATGTTATTTGACAAGAGTGGATATTCTTTCAGCCGGACATGATGGCTGTGAACTCGTACGATACCATCTACCTTTATGCCAGTCTCGTTGTCACACTGCTATCACGGGGACAAGACTTCCTTAACGGCTCGCTAATTGCCGCCACCGCCAGTAACTTCACATTCTTCAGCGTACCGCAAAGCCGTGTCTCCAAACTGGACGAAAACGGCGATCGCATTTTAACATATGCGTTTCGCAATCTGGATCCGAACAGCGGCCAATTTATTGTACTAAAAGATTGTCATCAAATTTGAGATGGCAGTTAGCTGCCCGGTTCTTAATATGGCTGGCATATTGCAGGATTTGTACATTATTCCATCCACTTTCGCTGGTGTGTTTCCGCTCGGCGTTCTGTACTGGCCCAATGGTGACACGCTACCGCCAAACTCTCCCTTCTGTGGATTCGATGGAAAGGCGGCCAGGTGTCAAGCAGTGCAGGCCTCCACGATGCCGACGATTGCCGGATCAGTGAGCGTTCTGGTGGTTCTATTGATACTGATCCCGATTGGAGTCTGCACATATATTCAAAAAACGTAATTCTGATTAAACCCAAGGCTACAAAATTTTTTAACTGCATAGCTGGTGCGTGTACATGTAGTATTGCCGCCAAACGTGATCCTTATTGGTGGAGAATTTACCGACGGGAACTAGCTCTGGTTGTGGATGATGGATCAATCATCGCGGACGACTATCGTGCCGTTGGAAGGGATATGGGTGGCACCATTGGGCATCGCGAACGCTCGGTTACGTTTACCGAACCGATGGAGGTATAGCTTGAACGAGTAATCGTATAGGCTTTGGTACGACATTATGACATAATAACACTACGTACTTCGTGGGGATGGCTATACACTGAAGCCTCAACAGTATCTCCATCAATTCTAGTTTATTTGTCGAGGGTGTTACTGTTCTCGCAGAAATCATTTTCCGGAAAAGATGACTTGGCTCAACTGGATGCAGTGGCCCGAGCGTATTTTGCGCTGCCTGTAATATACCGTTCAAATCCAGTCGGACTGGCGGATCTGCCGCAGCCCAAACACAAAGCGTCACCGCGGATAATAAAGAGCGTCAAACCGGTACACTAAATCATTTCCGCGTATCGCTTTCTCTGATTAAAGTCTTTTTTCTAATAATTTGTGCATACTTCGCTATGACAGTTAGGCTTCCGTCCATGTTGTTACAATAGGTTACAAAATCTTTGACAACAGTTTTTGCATGGAAGTACAGTATCGTTTATTTTACGCTTCCCAGCAGTAAACGTAGTTTCCTCCACTTGTCTTCAGCTAAAAACACTGCACCATACCAGTCTCCATCATTTTATCGGAATTGTGCTCAGCGACGACAATGTATGCCAGTATACTGTTGGCGAGTTATGCCATCGCAGAACACTGACTAATCTGCTCCTGGAAGAAAGCTTTCCGCTTGATCAAACTTGCAAGGATTCCCTAATTATGGATATTGTTGATGTAGGTTGATAATAATTCGACTACTTACAGACTATCAGCGGTAACAACGCAATGCTTTTGCTGTCACGCAGGGTATGAATGTGCTTCACGGCAGCGACATTAAGTCTCACGGGAATTTAACATCGGGGACCTGTCTAATTACCAGTCAGCTAGTGCTGAAGGTCACCGATTACGGTATTCCCATGCTTACCCGCCCACTTCAGTGGACCTTGCCACCGTCAAATTCACAGACGGAGAGGAATTTCTACACTTTGCTGTGGCGCGCCCCGGAATTATTACGGCACAAGATGAATCCATTTGGCACACAAAAAGGTCAAATTTGCGATCTACACATCCATCATTTGTAGTAGCTGTACCGTAGAAGAAACATCAACGTCCGAAACCTTAAAGCCTTTTGATTTCAGTATGGATAAAATAAATTTTGCAATAATATCAATCTCAACCTTGCTTCTCTTAAAAGAATGAAAAAACGGATTAAAAGATCTTTCCATGCTTTATTCACAGGTGATGTCTACAGTTTTGCCATATTACTGCAACAAATTATCCTTCGCTCTGGACCATTCCGATTAGAAGATTCTGCTATCATCAATGACAAAGCCAGAGAAATAGTTGCAGAAGTACGGTTATTTCTGCAAACCTATATTCTGTTACGGTTACCGTTTATTACGCGAAACCTCGTTTGTGTCATAATGTCGTGTGTACTCAGTGAACCATGAAATCATTGTTGGCACAAATATCTAAAACTGAATTTGCTGTAAACGATAGGTTCAGCACGGTTCCGTTCCTCCATTACGACCGCCCGTTCCCAGTGTGGCTTGCAACCCGAGGATTTACAGTCTCATGGAGACCTGTTGGGAGGAGAATCCTGATGAACGCCCACCCTTTTCCCGAATACGGTCAACGGTCAACCGGATCATCGGTCAGTCCGAGAGGAACTTGATCGGTAGCTTAATGAAATCCATGGAGAAGTACGCCATCTCGCTCGAAACACAAGTCGAGGAGCAGACGCGCAATTTTATGGAAGAAAAACGCCGATCCGAGCAAATGCTGAGCTCTTTACTTCCTCAGTAAGAAAGCTACAGACAACGAAATACATATTATGGTCATTTTGTCTAACGTCGACTACCGACAGCTCAGTCGCCGACGCAATGCAGCGACGCGAAGCCGTCCATCCGGAAATGTTCGACAGTGCCACCGTCTGCTTCGCGGATGTGCCCATGTTGTCTGAGATGCTGGAAAGTGGTCCCTCGTTAAAATGGATCATCGATGTTCTGAACTCTCTCTGCCGTATTTTCGATACCGTAGGCAGAAAATTCGAAGTGTACGACGTGGAAACTATCAATGATGCTCACTTGGTACGACTCACTTTCACCAGTTGTTAGTTCATAACACCATACTGTGGTTTTTTGGCTGTTTACAGCTTGTGAGCGGAGTTCCCATACGGAATGGTCAGGAACACGCCAAAGAAATTGTTTGTATGGCTACGGAGTTACTGCACGATACGAACAAGCGGTCGGCATACACGGACGGATTAACCAGGAGACGTGGCAGCAGCTTTAGCTATAAGAATCTCAGCGAAGAGTTTGATCTGCGATTTGGAATTAATACCGGCAAGTTTGATGATGATGTTCTTGGCAGTGGTTTGACCCTCAATTACCAAGGGTTACCTTTATAAAATACAGGTCCATGTGTGGCTGGTGTCATAGGACTGAAACTGCCACGTTATTGTCTGTAAGTGTTTCAAAACAGAACCTCTTCTGCAACGTTTGATAGCATATTTCGTGGAAACTCAGGAATAAGTACAACTTGCATAGGTTGCGGTCATTATATTCCATATTACTTTCATATCCATAAAATACTGTAGTACTGCTTGCTTCAAGTTGCTACATGTAGAATAATTGATAAGTTTCTCTTCAGTCCTTTAGTTTATGCTTACTAAAAGGGAAGAGATTTATGTGGGCTGAATCGCTCATAGCGTAGTTGCGTAAACTTAACTTGGGTTATGGATGCTGGGATGTTCAAGGTTCGGCGATACGGTCAATACGGCGGCCAGGATGAAAACGTATGGAACCGGTAAGCCACATAACGTGCTGTCTGAAGCCCAGAGGGGCAACGCCTCGTTGCAAAAGCAATAATCTCCGTTATTATTATTATTAATCAACCCAATATGAGCCGGTAATTACAAATGTTTTACAATTAAACGAGGATTTCTTTGCGTCATCTGTATGATACTCTGCTTATTTCGAAAAGCGTAAAGGCACGCTTTTGAGACACAACAGGGCCCACGGCAAACAATGTCTTTGACTTTTTGTTACAGCGGGAAAAATACACAGCAGCTTATCAACAAAGTGCTTGCTGGATCAGACATGTCCCGATCGATTTTTATTTTCCAGTCGCGGGAAAATCGACATAAAGGTAAAAACACTTGCACTGAAGTTGATCAGAGATTGAAATATCTGTAGAATTTCTTTCCTCAATATACATAACATTACTTTTTCAAAATTCGGGTAATTAAAACGCAATTTAGTTTCGGGCCGGTGGGTACGCTAATTTTACAGGATAGCCGCCAACACTGTTCAAATGCAGTTACTGTACGCTTAAAGATCGGAGAAGCGTTGTAAAACGCCTAACCGAAACAAAACCTTCACGGTGGTTCTGCGTTTTATTATACAACGCTCACTGTATTTCACAGGGCAAAGGCCTTATGGAGACGTACTGGGTAGTGGATAGCACGCATCAACTTCCGTCCTAAAAAGAAATACGGAGTCCCCTATTGATCTATTAGCGGAATCGGAATTGGTTCCGAAATGAAGCCACTTGAGCTCGATTATTTGCCGACCACACTTACCACAGAAACCTCAGTTCAATAGCGTGTACACAATTGTTAATAAACCATACATGCAACTGCCCGCCGGCGCTACAAGCCGCCGAAATAGAATAAATATGCAGGCCATCGATGATGCCGATCGAGTACAGAATTATCTTTTGAAAGATTGCTTATTTATATTTCACAAAAGAGTTGTGAGATATCCTACGGCTATTCACAGCATATTGTATATTTCACAGCATATGTGCTGCTCATCTACATGCTTCCGTACATTGCGCTACTTGATATGCCTGTCCGTTGCGCTACTTATTATGCGTGCTCTTTGATTAGACGTTACCGACTGACATAGCGGTTCATATCCGCTATCGCATTCGCCGTATATATAGCGAGCTTCTGCTTATGATCTTGGCCCATTACTTCTCCAGCTTCTGCATTTTTGTCAGCTTGCTTGTCAGCAGATTGTTCACCAGCTTCTGTGTTTGTGTTGCTTTGTTGTTTGTTCAGTCTCATTGCGAATAAAGGCTTATTCACAACGACCTTTTTGCTCTCCCACTGGCCACCACATTTCACAGAGTACTTACTTATATTTGCATCATTCTTTCAGTTGAACTGAGTTCAAACAAAGTTGAAAAATGGCAGACTGTTAACTGCGGGGGTATTCGTATTTCTATTCGTTTGTCTTAATGCAAAGCAGCATTAAATCGCGCAGTTTCTGGTGTCCGATCATTGTGGTGGATTGTGCACTCGGCAGTTTGTACCTTTCACGCGAAATGGAATGTGTGGCTACTTATAAACCAGAAATCCAACAAAAGTCAAATTAAGTAGAATCATTTAAAAAAAACAAATAATGCCGCAAGCACATCAAACAACAAAATTAGTGTTCTTGTAGGGAAAAAGAATCAACAACACTTAACCATGATCAGCAGCAGCAATTAACGATAATTAAGTACATTAAAGTTTACGATGTTATATGTGAAAGTTAATATACAAGAATGCCCGCGCATAAAAATGCCGCAACAGAACTGCAAAATATGTTGTGCTACAGGCTTCGAGATCAACTTGCTGCATCCCATTATTAACGAGAATCGCGTTACTGGATTCCGATCGATACAGCATAAGCATGAGGTAAAGAAACTTTTGTACGGCATCGTTATGCGTAAAAAACGTAAGGAATCTGTGCTACCCCAATTTTGTGAGATTTTTTTCAATGGGACAATATCCGCGTCGCTGGTATGGTGCAAGAAAAGGGAACGTGCCTGATGTAGTACATGTACAGTAATGTAACCTGTGTCGACACGGTCCCTCTTTTTTACATACAGTCGACTTCTGTAATCGCTGCATGTGCGGCTGTTCTAGCGGACGAAAGAAACTTGCGGTCGCGCATTTACGCTTAGCCGGAAGGGCAGTAATCTTTTACCAACTGCTTTCACGACAAGAGGCCATTGGCGCCCATCGGCTAGCGTAATTGTCAAGGAGTTAGGGAAAACAGTTCAACAGCAGACAGGAGAACGCCGCGCGCATGAATTCCTGCGCCTGCGACTGAAATGCGGTATCCGTCCTTAGAACAATACAACAGTTAAAACATAAACGAATTTTTTTGGTTGTGAACATAATTTTGTTGTCTGTTTCCTAGAACGAACTACGTAAGGCGATTTCAATATGTACTAAAAATTTCAAACGCAGGAAGATTCCTTGAAAAGTCTTGCAAAGGTAATGGTTACAAGAAACAGCCTCGGCTTCGCCTCCGCGTTTTTGTTTGTCAAAGATGTTGAAAAACACCATAACCCCGAAACGAATGTGATCAGAAAATTAGTAAATGAAAATTACGAGTGATCCGCAGTTTACGAATGGTTTGACCAGTTTCCCTTAAGGCCGGTATGGAATTAAGTTTGCAAAACTTCAAATCGCGATGTGAAGACGTATTATTTGGAACTTTTCTGAACTTTTATTTCATATTTTTTCAATCGTGCGGTCACTGCGGTGAAAAGTAACCGAAATATAGGAAAGGAACTCGGTAACGGTAAGATAAAAACATTACAGTACAGTATATAAATTTTAAAAATTTAAAGTTTCACAAATTTCTTGGACGTACATTTTCAGATTATTTTAAGGCGCGACCAATGTTCGTCCATAAATTTCAACGCAGGAGATAATTTGGAAATGTGTATATATGTACGACATGGTGTTGGCTGAGGAAACCTGTTGACCTACGCGTGCAGACATGCTAACAAAATTGCTTTACTTACTGTAGGCTTCAGAATAATAGCAATAGGGGAACACACGTGCTTTCATTTTTGCAATTTTTGGAACAATTTTTTTGAATAATGAACTGCAGTTGCTAGGCTGGTTATATGATCACCACTTGAATTATGAATACATTTATACCCGTAGAAATTTCTGGACGCTTCTTGAAACTACTGCTTAAGCACTGTAAAAACTTTAAAAAATTTCAGAAACTGTTGACGAGGCTGAACTTTTTTTATAAATGCAAATGAATCTTTTCTGACATGAGCCTGAATTTGTAAAAAAATTTTGGAGCTTGAACGTATGACTCTCAAATTAGTTTTTGAATTACAAAGGTAAGAAGACGTAATAGTGTATAACTCTTAAGATAGAGATAATAATTTAGTTACATTTGGTGAAGGTAGTCAAAACTCTTCCGCTGTGGCGCTCGAAGCGGGAGAGGTTTTAAAAGAAATGAATACTATCTGGCCGGGTTTTCGATTACGGGCTTTCAGAATATAATATTGGTTTTGGTCAGTCTTTTCTGGTTTGCCGGCTCTGGTGTATCCCATTCGTGGCAATATAGATCTGAATCTTGATAATGAATTCTATTAATAATCGTATGACATTTTAATTAGGGTTACGGTGGCCTGGTAAATTTTCCCCGGTCAGTGGAGAAATGGTATTCTCAAAGGGAATAACCCGGAATTATTGCTCTCGGGTTGTTAATTACTAGGCGCACACATGATGATTCCTAATTATTTTGGCGATACAATATGGTTCTGGCAAATCATTCATGCGAGCGATATCCCCACGTGGATTTCTTCATCCATAGCATACACATACCGGTGTGTATGTTTTAGCACCTCCTATTTGACTTTCGATGGAGATAGTATTTTACGATAAAAAACATCTGGCAATAATTATCTATCTATGTATATCATGGCGGCAGAACTATTATTCTGTTTGTTTTTTATAAAAACATTGAGAATTTCTTGCGGGCAGCAGAATAACACCACCACAATGGCGCCCGCTGAGACAACTACACTAGCGTGGCGTACAGTCCAAGCCAAGGATTTTTTACCGGGAAGCCTCCCTGCAATGAACGACAGTGTTACTTTACGCGGCTGCATTCTTATGGAGCGCGGGAATACGTATGATCTGCATGATTATGATAAATCTGCAGCGGCCATTGAATTAGCCGTGGAATGGGTCAATCAGAATGTGTTTCCCGCCAATCTCAGCATGCAGACTATTTACGTCGATATCGGAAGTCGATGCTTGGGGAAACCGATGGTGTTGTCGTATGCCATGGATTTATGGCAGAGAAATATTACTTGTAACGTGTATTTCGGTCCCGGTAAGGACTTCTGATACATGATAACTGGATGGAGTGTTACTAGTATACTAATTTGAATTGATATGATAGTAGAAATCATCATCACCATGATTATTTGGCAACCGCGCCTAATAGCACCTAAAATTGTTATACTTAGATTGCTAAGTTTCTAAATACAAATGCAATTCACCGCAGTTTTTATACGTACTCCATTAATATCGTACATTTGAGCTCCTTATACTATCCTATTTTTCTTATGCATATGTGAATATTTTATTCGGTTTCATAAAGGTTGTGGATCTGATTAACCATTCAGAATGTGAAACGATAACTGGAAAAGCACATATTTTTATTACAGGATGCGGTTCAGCTGCCGAGGCGCTAAACGATTTCGCCGAATACCTCAGCACTCCCATCTTCGGCATGCCAGCCGCCAGTGTAGGTACCAAAGCGCCCTTTGCGGATTATAAACTGATGCTCCGCGCATCAGTCTCCCATACATCCATGGCCTATGGCCTCCTCCGCTTCCTAACGTACTTTAACTACACCACACCGTATTTTTTCCTTGATACATACGGTACATTCTATCGAGAAATGCGCGTGCTAGTATCAGCAACGTTTTTGCGCCGAAATCCAGAGCTGTATTATGGGTCCAAGGCTAAACGCTTCGATAGCTCTGCATCTACGTATGGAGATTACAGAAGCTATCTGCGCGCAGTGACGGCAGTTTCGCGAGGTAATAGCATCTTCTTGCAAAGGAAGATTGTTATTCGCTCTGTGAAGTATGTTTGAAACATAATTAGAACTCTGTGTATAGTGGTTTTCATCATGGCAAACGCTTCAACGGTTCGTCAGATAATGCTAGCGGCACTAGACGAAGGAATGACCTCAGGAGACCACGTAAGAACTTTCACTGCCTCTCTGCGTATGCACAACAAATTGTACTTCACATTCCCCAGGTTTTTATTGCTGTGGAATATTTTGAAAGCGATTTTTGGGGACGGTTCACGTGGAGGTTTAACGATGACCGAGATGAGGTCGTTCCGGCATATTCATTATTTTATTTATTTAACAGCTGATTTAGGTACACCGTTCTGTACGTTTGTACATTTTCAGGATGCGCGTACAGCGTTTCGCACGCTCCTCATACTGTCCATTCGATCATCGATAGACAGCAGTCTGAACACGTTCTGGAGGAACGTCAAAAGACGGTCAAGACGGGAAAACTTTTACAAGTTCAGCACGAATTCTACCGTAAGCTCAGTGCATGTATCGCTGTAGGCATAATGACATTTAGAATGATACAGATTTTTGTTACCTAGTGTTAAGACGTTGTAGCTGTAGTGGTAGGCAAAGGCATTTAGTGACAATTTGATATTACTAGTATTAGAATCGTAACAAGTTTTCTTATTTTTTTTTCATGTTAATCTAATGTTTGACAAAGTTAGCAATCTTTCAGCCCGACATGATAGTGGCGAACTCATACGACACCATTTATCTGTATGCCAGTCTCGTTGTCACACTGCTATCACGGGGACAAGACTTCCTTAACGGCTCGCTAATAGCCGCAATCGCTCGTAACTTCACATTCTTCAGCGTACCGCTGAACCGTGTCTCCAAACTGGACGAAAACGGCGATCGTATTTCAACATTCGCGTTTCGTAATCTGGATCCTAACAGCGGACAGTTTATTGTATAGCTCTCAGCATTCTCGTAGTAACAATCCGGTTTTAACCTGGCTGGTATTTTACAGGATTTGTACATTATTCCGTCTACTTCCACTGGCGTGTTTCCACTGGGCGTTCTGTACTGGCCCAATGGTGACACGCTACCGCCAAACTCTCCCTTCTGTGGATTCGATGGAAAGGCAGCTAGGTGCCAAGCAGTGCAGGCCTCCATGATACCGGTGATTGCCGGATCAGTGAGCGTTCTGGTGATTCTCTTGATACTGATCCCGATTGGAGTCTACACATATATTCAGAAAACGTAATCTTGCTCAAAACTTAAACGCAACTATAAAAATCTGTATAAGCATATAGCGTGTACACCGTAGTATTGCGGCCAAACGAGATCCTTATTGGTGGAGGATCTACCGACGGGAACTTGTTCTTGTAGCGAGTGATGGATCAGGTATCGCGGACGACTACCGTGTCGTGGATGGGGATACTGGCGACACTCTTGGACTTCGCGAACGCTCGGTTACGTTTTCCGAACCGATCGAGGTATAGCAGGTTGCCCTGTACTATGGCAGTACTAGTATGTGCCAGCTTTTACGCGGCTTTGGTATATCTGTGATGTATGGATGGTTTCTATAATATCACCATTAATTTACATGTCGAGGGTATGCTTGCAGAAATCGTTTTCCGGGAAAGGTGACCTGATTCAACTTGATGCTGTTGCACGAGCGTACTATGCGCTGCCTGTAATTTACCGTTCAAATCCAGTCGGACTGGCGGATCTGCCGCAACCCAAACACAAAGCCTCGCCGCGGGTTGTGAAGAGTGTCACACCGGTATGTCTTGTCATTTTGAGCGTATTACGTAGTACGTACCATCATTAATTTTATCTTTACGTAAGAAGGGAAAATACGAAAATACTTTTTGTACGTGCCAGCAATTTTACATAGGTAGTTAATAAAATGCTTTGGTCTTTGAATATTTAGTTCACATTTTGACTCGACATATATTTTTTTGTTTTATTTTGCTGTTCATTTTATTACTGCATTTTGCAAATTTTTTTGACAACTGTTTCGCATTTGAGTACAAATAGTTGTTTTCATACAGTGCGTACGTAATTTCCATCCAAATGTTTTTAGCTAAAAACACTGCACCATACAAATCTCCATAATTTTATTGGAATCGTGCTCAGCGACGACAATGTGTGTCAGTACACCGTTGGTGAGTTATGTCATCGCAGAACACTGACTAGTCTGCTCCTGGCGGAAAGCTTTCCGCTTGATCAAGCCTGCAAGAATTCCCTAATCATGGATATTGTCGATGTGGGTTGATAGTAATTGGACTACTTGCTGTCAACGGTAAACAACGCAATGTTTCTGCTGTCATACAGGGCATGAACGTGCTTCACGGCAGCGACATTAAGTCTCACGGGAATTTGACATCGGGGACCTGTCTAATTACTAGTCAGCTAGTGCTGAAGGTCACCGATTACGGTATTCCCATGCTTACCCGCCCACTTCAATGGACCTTGCCACCGTCAAATTCACAGACGGAGAGGAATTTCTACACTTTGCTGTGGCGCGCCCCGGAATTATTAAGGCACAAGATGAATCCATTTGGCACACAGAAAGGTCATAATTGCGATTTTCATACATCCATCATTTTTAATAGCGTCAGCACACAACAAACAACAATGATTGAAAAGTTAAAGCGTTTTCCATATAATATTGTGATAATATAAATTCCAGTGTTGCTTATCTTAGAACAGAGAAGGATGACAAAGATTCTTGAGAACTATATTCACAGGTGATGTCTACAGTTTTGCCATTCTGCTGCAACAAATTATCCTTCGCTCTGGACCTTTCCGATTAGAAGACTCTGCTATCACCAACGACAAAGCTAGAGAAGTAGTTGCGGAAGTACGCGTGCTTTTTACAAATCCGCATTGTATTATATTAACCATTTATTACGCGACAACCTCATTTGAGCAATTACTGACTTACTGTCATGCGCTTTCAGTGAACCAATCGTCATCGGCACAAATATTTTAAAAGTAAATTTTGCTGTAATCGATAGGTTCAGCACGGTTCCGTCCCTCCATTGCGCCCGCCCGTTCCCAGTGTGGCTTGTAACCCGAGAATTTACAGCCTCATGGAAAACTGTTGGGAGGAGAATCCAGATGAACGCCCAACTTTCTCCCGAATACGCTCCACAGTCAACCGGATCATCGGTCAGTCCGAGCGGAACTTGATCGGTAGCTTAATGAAATCCATGGAGAAGTACGCCATCACGCTGGAATCCCAAGTCGAGGAACAGACGCGCAATTTCATGGAAGAAAAACGCCGATCCGAGCAAATGCTGAGCTTCCTGCTTCCTCAGTAAGATACCTCGAAATAAAGTAGTGTGATTATTCGGTCTACAGTTGATAATGGCAGATCAATCGCCGACGCAATGCAGCGACGCGAAGCCGTCCATCCAGAAATGTTCGACAGTTCCACCGTCTGCTTCGCTGATGTGCCCATGTTGTCCGAGATGCTCGAAAGTGGCTCCTCGTTAAAATGGATCGTTGATGTTCTGAACTCTCTCTGCGGTATTTTCGACACCGTAACCAGGAAGTTCGAGGTGTACGATGTTGAAACGATCAACGATGCTCACCTTGTACGACTCCATTTCACCGGTTATTGGTGCACAACAGCATGTGACCGTTTGGCTGTTTACAGCTGGTTAGCGGAGTACCCATACGGAATGGTCAGGAACACGCCAAAGAAATTGTGTGTATGGCGGCGGAGCTACTGCATGATACCAACAAGCTATCGGCACATACGGACGGATTGGCCAACAGACGCAGCAGCAGCATAAGCTACAAGAATCTTAGCGAAGAGTTTGACCTGCGATTCGGAATTAATACGGGTGAGCGTGATGGTGATGCTCTTGGCAGTGGTTTAATTGGTTATTTGTACTTTAAATTTCCCCACTGCAGGTCCCTGTGTGGCTGGCGTCATAGGACTGAAGCTGCCACGTTACTGTCTGTAAGTGTTAACGTCCAAAAGGCCAAAAGATCTTTTTACATTTGATTGCATATTTTGTCTGAATGGAACTAGGTAGCTAGTACAATATAAACTAAATGCTAAATAGCAACCTTTTATATTGGTTTCCATATTCCATAAGTTCTATCATTGCTGTATTTGTAATCTAGAGAATAATACAACAAGTTTTTATTCAGTTATTTAGTTTATTCGGAAGAAATTAATGCGTAAACAATAATATCGACGTTGGCATCCTTAAGGTTTGGAGATACGGTCAATACGGCGGCTAGGATGAAAACATACGGAACCGGTAAGCAGTATTCTGCAATGCTATGAAGATCCTTGACCGCAAGGCAAAATGTTCCACCTGAATACAACTGTTTTAACATTTTGAGGATACCTTTAAGCTCTCGGTACACCAATTTACTTAATTCGAAAAGTCTGCATATAGAGACACGCATGCGCGACACACCAAATGTGAACATTATTTTTGTTGCAGCTGGAAAAATACATAGCAGCTTATCCACCAAGTACTTGTTGGACCAGACATGTCCCGATCGATTTTTATTTACCAGTCGTGGGAAAATCGACATAAAGGTAAAGTGCACTTGCAGTGAAGTTGATCAGAGACTGAAGTAGAAAATTTCTACTTCAGACTAGAAAATTAGAAATTCATTTCCTCAATATGCATAAAAATTACATATGGAAGATCCTGTTAAACGCAATTGAGTTTCCCCTGCCAATCAGTCCGCCTACACGTGCCGGTGGCTTCGTTAATTTTGCAGCCGGCTTCAGCAGTGTTCAACGCCAGTCGTGCATGTTTTATTGAAGATTGGAGATAGCAATGGCGTTATAAAGCGCCTAACCGAAATACCGACCTTTGCGGTGCCGACCGAAATACCGACCGAAATACCGACCTTTTTAATTAAGTAAACAACGCTCAATGCATTTTACAGAGCAAAGGCTTTATGGAGACGTACTGGGTAGTGGATAGCACGCAGCAACTTCCGTCCTGAACAGAATACGGATTCCCCGGTTGATCCATTAGCGGAATTGGTTCCGAAATGAACCACTTAAGCTCGATTATTTGCCGACCACACTTACCACAGAAATCATAGTCTCAATAGCGTGTACAGAACTGTTAATAAATATGCAAGCAACTGCCCGCCGGCGCTACAAGCCGATGAAATAGAATAAATACAACCAGCCGCAATTTGTTCCACGATGCCGATCGAGTACAGGCTTGTCCTTCGAAATTTAATGCATAGAAAATGAAGGGTCCCGCGCAGAGCGCCACTTGAATAGCACCATGAAAATCGGTAAATAGCTGCTGCCGGGGCTTCATTAGCACAGATCAAAAACCAAACATCTCAACAAAACCAACATCTGCAATTCACATACTGTATTACGATGAATAACGCATAGAAGTACGCATGATCTCATACTGCGCAATGTCACCTGGATGTTAAACTGTGTACAATGGTAAAATTAGGCCACTGCCGTCGACGACGATCTGTGTGATAAAGATGTGCATTAAGTACCATTCACAGTTTGTCATTGACGAATGAATTGTGGGGATTCTGACTGAGAGTGACTGTTATCTTTATTACACTTTAACGTGCGCAAGATTACCGTACGTTAAACGTTACGGATAACGTATGTTATGTATCACGCAGGCTTTATAACGAACAACATTATTACAAAATCTCAAAAGTATTCATCGCATATTTCGGCACTTAATCACCTGTATAACGGCTGCCCGCAGCTCAGGCAAAACTAGGACAAATAAAAGAGGATCAATAACCATTTGAATCATGTACATAATATTGCCTACTTGGCCTAACCAGCCTAATTCATAGTGGAAATATGCCGATGCGGTGCCGTAAATCTTGGAGCTGGTCCAGCAGACCAGGATAGATATCGTCTGTACAGTGAGGACGGTGAAGCCCGTAGAGCTCTCCCGGCTTCGTTTTTTAGCTACGGGTTTTCTGGATTGCTCTTGCGGTGTATTTTTCGTTGGAGTCGTGTTCAAAGAATTGTCTTCCGTCCCCGACAACGGTATCCACTCTTTACTACGTGGCATTGCCCGCATCTGCATTCGACGCCGGTGCCATAGAAAGGGATAGGCAAGGAGTATTAAGATGTACGGAATAAGATAAATGACAAGCTGTAGCATCTGTAATGACACCATACGTAAGTGCAAAAAATAGGCACTTTATTGCACTTACGCCATTACTACTCAACTGGCTATGTAGAGCGGCATCTTACTATCAACGCTTACAAATGATTTATTTTCCGGAATCAAAATGGTCCCAGGAATTTTACTCTACTATATTCGTTTACTGCGTACAGTGTCATATGTATGTGCAATACAGAACTTACGATTTTTATTTCATAAAATGGGGTACATTACGGGTTAGAAACAATTATTATAGCAAAAAATGTTCATTTAACGCTGCCGCTCCATCCATTGTTCCGAGTACGGAAGCGGCGTTGCCTCGTTGGATTTCGAGGGAAATGCGCTGCCGGAGAAACCCATGAGAGCGCGGTTCACCCGTATGAAGTTGGAGCGCGGTTCACCCGTATGAATACACAACTTACAAACATACTACTGAGTATGTACATGCGTATACTGTTGAGTACAAACAATGAGTGCACAAATCCAAAAATGTAAAAAAAGCGTAAAACAATAAAACAAATAGAAAGAAAGTGCTGTTAAATTTTATAAACCTATCAAATTTATATCCGCCTTAAGACTTCTACCGAGGATAGAAAAACTATCCACATTTAAGCAGTTTAAATTTTAACCATTCCATAAAATTAATTATGCATGTACGTATATTCAGTCCTTCCCAATACGACCAGCATGCCACTTAATCATTCATTGTAGAATAAATGATGACTTATGTAAATTTTCCCATGCACAAACACATCATTTATTAAACCAACAGCATTTGCATACCATAGCGTAACCCTTCTGCGCGCTGACATTAACGATACACCAGCGATCCGAATCAAAATTCCCATAATACAGTAAATCCCGCACATAAAACGGCAGGATGATAATGTGCACATATAGCCACGTGCCGGCGCATATCGCCATCGCTACCGGCTTCGTATGGGAATTCCGGTAGGAAATCGGGCGAGCGATGGCCCAGATCCGGTTGACGGTGATGAGCAGATGGGACTGCTGTACAATAGCATTGGGTATCCAATCACTATACAGCATCACCAGACACCACCGGCTCCAGGCGAACCACTCGGTCCGTAGCAGTTCCACGATGCGCAACGGATTGGCTAATGTGTCGACAACATTGGCGATTAGCAGGTTAATCAGGTAGATGGAGAAGGGGGTAATGAGGCGTGGTCGGCTGGCGAAGATCGCCAGGACAAAACCGTTGGTCAGGAATGTGGCGACGGTGAAGAGAACTTGGAGCGTAGCGCCGCCGCTCCATTCGTAATACCCCGCGTGCGACTGGTTTGTAAAATTGGAAAGACTGTTGACTGCATCCATTATATAGTCATAAATCTGCGGGGAGGAAGTTATGATACATATACCGACAAGAAGTATTACATCGTTATGGCGAGAGTTTCAGCATGATGCACATGAATAGTGACGAACCGGCATAAAACTTACAACCGGCAAGAGAGTTTCCAACTGAGTGCACGAGCACTGATGACAAGTAAAAGTCAATCGGGAAACAATTCCCACCAAATCCCCGACTGTACACTGGCACGGGAAAATGACCGGCGTAATGGATGTGTTGATAGGCAATGTGTCGTACGCGTGTCGGCAGCAGCTGCGCCAACACTGTCATGATATCCCGATGACGGATTACTAGCGGCTTACAAAAACGCATTCCCCAATCGATCGCAGGATTACACTGTGAGAGTATGTGTTGTCTACAGCGGCTTTATAGTCGCAATTGAGGATCACGCAAGCGCAACGTTATTCAACATGCTGCAGCCGTGGCCGGGGAAGTCACAGCAGCCCAACAAATTAAACTTCCTTATTACGGGGTCTGGCCTTGGCGCTGGACGGGTAGAGGATCGATGGCCATGAAAAGTGCGGTTGGGATGAGGGTAATGTCGTATAATTGCATTAGGGAAAATGAATGCCATGCCACTTCGGACTAATTTTCCATGATAAAAGCAGTACATACGCCGGCAAGGCAGGATGAATTAGAGACCTAAATGGGCTTTGTCAATACTCAATTACATTCCTGTAATGTTCCAATATTTCCTTGCTACTGCATAACCTGTATTTCACTAAAACGATCTATTGTATGTTTTGCGTGTACTCGTATTATAGATGACACTGGACTAGAATCAACGCAGAAAATAAATACTTTACTTTATCCACCTAAGCAGCTTTTCGTCGTTTAAGTCTCATCGTTTCTTTTCTTGAGATTCAACGTGAAATGCCAAAGTGTGAATTGGGAACTGTTTCTGGGATTAGTGACTAACGAACCAAAAACTCGTATTGTTTTCTTCGAATGCTTATAAGTTTTAACACACGATCGCTTGACATGCGACCAAGGTGATGCTCAAGCAGGGATGAGTTGATCCTTGAGTCAGTTCGACCTCTGAACTTACAATACCGATACCATCACGAATAGAATAAACCATACATGTGCGACATGTGTAAAAACTGTTTATTACACATAATGTGTCATAAACAGTTTTTATTGCATACTGAACTAGGTTGGACTTTCTGTACATCATTTTAGCAGTTTTCGTAACCATTTTTCTGTCTTTTCGTAGATGAACAAGTGCAGATTTTATCACGACCCAAACTAGCAACTTTTATCCATGATAACATATTTTAGCATACTAATAAAAAAAGTCGGGAACACATGGTTTTCCCCTTTGCTCAAACAGGAAGGCCAGAAACGCCGCAACCAACATCAAAGGTACCGTATATATGAAAATCCAAAAAAAGTACAGAAAATAGCACAACTAAAAGATCCATATTATGCAGATACGCTTTCAGGCCGTGTTCCACAGAGGTTGATGATCAGCTCCAATGTGCCAAACCATGTAATCTCGCTCCCAGTACATTACCGAGCAATCCTACAACACAGATTAAAATTACACAAACCAAACCAACAATTTTACAGCGAGGCAATCAGATCGTCTGTACCCAATACCATATTTCTAACTGCAGTTTAAACTTATAATAAAATTGTGAATCTTGCATGAATACATCACTGCTCGACGTAATCTAATGGGCGCACTCTACTGCCAATCTGGATCAGGGTCATCATTCTTATTCTTAATATCAATTTTCCAGCTGCTCACATTACATAGGTACCTGATCAGGGCATAAATACTTCCACAAGTACCGCTGCATTTTTTTATCAGAGTTGCTCTCAACACAATCCTCCAACAAACCGTCTAAAGTCTCTCCAACACGCACACGCCGCTGGTCCATTTTTATCACGAGGTCCATTCGTTTCTATGAACACAAAGTACAGAAAATCAAAAAGATTAGCCGTGATTTCGAAATACATAGTGTAGCGTATGTATAAGTCGAGATCCTCGTCTTCTTAGCAACTGCTGCTGTTTTTATCATGTTTCTGTAGCTAGCTACGATTCTTTCTTTTCTGTTCAATTGTTTTCTGCTGCGAAGCCTGCGATACCAGTCGGATCAATAAAGAGCGTACGATTCTACTAACACTACAGACATCACTCATAGAACGGAAACCCTGTTGTTTGTAGCCTTCACGAGGGAATACATAACCGCAATTTTTCATCCGAAGGAATCTTTACGACAGCGCTTGTCAATAAATGGTCAACGACGAAACGCAGCGTCAGTGCTGGGCACAATGGAAGGGCCAGCTATTTCAAATTTTGTTGCTTTAGTGTCCCGTGTTCCGCTTTGTCCGCACTTCGTACAATAAGTTCGATCTGATCCACAAAACGATAGACTCCTAGTAACCGTGAACATTCAAAACCTTGGAACGGTTAAATATACTGCGCCACGCTACACCGCGACTTCCACGGGAGGGCATGATAGACAATTTCATCGCCTGCACATTGCCCAATTCCTGAACTGCGCTTAGTGCCGATAACTGTATCATACAGTTGGAGCCATTGCAGTACGTTAATTTACTGCATCAAGTACTGTGGACCTGATCGTAACGGCGCTAATACGGGCAGCACATTTTCTGGATAGTAACAGTTCATCATCTTCTACAGCAATGCGCAACTACGTACTTCGCAAGCGCATTTAATTTACACGAATTTATTGCCAGCGGAAGTTCAGTGCGGCAACCACAGAACTTGTTACTCTGGAATATTTTCGGAATTTTTCACCTTTCAGTTACAAATTGAATTACCTGCAAGGCGTTCCCCGAGTATTCAGGCTTGCCGCACAGCAAAGGATGCATCGCTGTCACATGTGACACCATGTGGTTCGTGGATGCCTTCGCGATCGCCTCGCAACCCTGGAGAAAAAACCCATGCTCCGAATTTTATTTTACGTTAAATTAATTCGAGTAATTTTGTTAAATTTACTGGAGCCAACAGTAACACATCTAGTTCATAGTGGCGTTAACAAGCAGCTTCAACCCATTCGCATGGAAAAGGACTCACTTCAGTCATTTGGGCAGGGCATCCAAAGAAAAGGTCGGTTTCAATAGTACCTGTTCCTTGTGGGAAGAATAGATGTGACCTCTCATTTGGTCAGCGTTTCGGATGAGGTTATCTTTACATGGTTCAAGATTGCAGACGTAATGCAAGCAGTTCTTCTGCAAAATCAGCACCGTTCTGCAGGCCACGCCATCGTAACATCCCTGTCACGACCCTGTGTACCACATTTACGGTGGACGAGACACATAATATTATATCACATGCTGCACAATACATGACCTCTATGACGGTAGGTTGGATGAATTTATCTGGAATTGTCTGGCTAGGAAACGGTCGAGTCGGATCAAATACCCATTCCGGAAACGTTTTACGCCCATTCAAATGCTTGAGGTAGGCCATATCGTCCATTTTCTAAGTTTAAACATGAGATAGAAGTTACTAGCGGTGGTTGATAACCACATCATTGCACCGAGCGCGAGCAATAGCCACTGAGATCTGTTACGCATTTCCAGTACCACTTGAAGTGATACGTACCACTGGAAATGGAATCAATATTGTGGAATTCCACATATCCCATAGGAAAGAGGTGACGGTGACGCGCTTTTGGCGTCAGATATACTCTGCTATGGAGCGTGTAGTCTTGACGATCAGTTAATTGCAGCACCTCGCGCTTCGCGCTCGGTGCAAAAAACTTATGACGGCGAAAACCAGCACATCGATTTTAAACAGGTAACACCACGTCATGCATCGAGCAGAAGGGGAACTAAAATACAAACTAAAACTTTAGCGAAAAATCGCAGTCGATTATCAAAAAAATCACGTACACAAAATATTCACCTAGTAGTATAGTACCTACTTATGGTATCTATTTTTAGCATGGCATTCCTTTTATCAAAACGGCTAAACAAGGCAGCTGTGCAGCATGGACAGAGAGATACGGACGGAAAATCAAGGGAACAGAGATATAGAAGTATAGGTATCTGTCCTCTTATAATAAATCTCTATAGTTGCTTCACCAAATCATTTTCCTCCAGAAATTCTTCGAGATCATCATCGTCGTCGTCATCACTGCAGTTGATGCAGCACGTTAGTGTTTCCAGTTTTTCATAGAATTCCTTGTGCGCAGCCGTCAGGTGATCCTCCAAAAACATTCCTGTGTGCTGATCATATGCAACATCCTCGCATTCCTTGTTTCCGTTGCATTCCGCCGGACAGGGGCACACCAGATTGATCTGCACATCTGTCAGTTGGTGCGCGGTTTCCAGATGCGCCTTTAGACTCTCCGTCGACGTAAAGCACAACTCCTTGCAAGTATCGGATTCGGACACGTACGGACACTTAAGAGGATTGCCACCATACTGCAGATTGTAAAAAACAAAGAATACGAGCAGACATAGGACACGACATACACGATGAATGTAAATTATAATAATATGTCACATAACGCATTATAGAAATATGTAATTATTATAGTAATATGTATTATAGTAATATGTCACATAAGCCCACAAAATAAATTGCTGATTTTTACCGATACTGTTCCCATAACGAGTACATGATTAGCCAGTTCCGTTTTGCGAACGATAATTTTGTGAAGAATTATGGTCGTTTCCAGCACTTTCGTATCGGGTCGCACGGAGCACTTCTATGAAATTAGAAGACCGCTCGTATCACATTAATTACGGAATTTAAAGCTGACGCACCCATTTAATATCACAATTTACAAAAGCAAATTTATAGCAAAAAACAAAAACATGGAATCATCGGCTATTAAAAAGTACTCTGTACACGAAATTATTGATTATTTGATACTACAGAGTAGTACGTAGTACACATATCAAGTGAAAACTTTTTATACGAATTTTAATGCAGTAATGACGTACAGTTTTCTGGAATCATCATCCGCTTAGATACTGTGATACATCTCATCAAGATTCAAACCCCGTTAATGTAGAAGTTATAGAAAGCACCTCTTTACAAGTACAGTACCATAATTAATTAGGGTTTGGGAAGCACTAACTGTTAGAGCTTTCGAATTAAAGAATTCAAAGCTGTCTTTGAACTGTTTCAGCTTTGCCTGCAGCACACCTGCGGTCCTACTACTGATCGCTATAGATCTACCCGCTTATTTCGGTCTTAAGATTCATGAGTTCGTCAACATAAAAGCAGTTGGGAGCCGTTTCGCTCGATGGAACATACCAGCACATTCGGCAGCTCCACGTTCTGCCTCGGTTTTCCGTCGTACAACGAAGAGTAAGGAATTTTGGGATCATCATTCGGAACCCTACTTGATTCTGCACAATGAGAAGTTTTCTGTTTTAACTCACATCTTTGGCGCTTCTGGCTGAACGGGTCAACTCCTCTGTCACTAATGGAGCACGCGTCCATTGGTTCAAAACGATCGCACGACATTACGTATCTCAAAAGTGAATTCAATACTGAATAGTATTCAGTGAATACTCGAACAACAAAAGAACTGCGAGGGCGACGTCGTTATAAGGTTGAACAGAAAAGGCAGAGTGTAAAGAAAACGTAAAGAAAGCCGTTGCCCCAACGGCGGAAGCCTGTGTGCACTCCACAAGCGTATTACAACCGGTGATTGGCAACCGCCAATGTACGCGTAACTGCATAAGTTGTTAGAAAATATTACTGTACTGTGCATGATGAGAAAAAAATATTATTAAGATGCGGTCACACGAAATTGCGAATACCATTAATTAAAGAAATTACCAGTAAAAACCGAGGACTACCTTCAGCCGGCGCCAGCAGCCGTATGTAGGTGCCCTACTGCCGCGTTCTCCCGCGTCCGCCAGACACCAAATTTTGCCTAAGATGCCGGCTGACACGGCTCCTGCTGTCATGGCTCGTGGCTTTCGGGATCTAAAGAGGCAGGGAAGCTGTATACTGAAGGTGATAATCTGTTCGCAATCCCATGCGATAAAGTCGCTGCATATGGGTTTTATGGAGCTGGTGGAGGGGATGGTGGACGGGCAGGGTTGCCGCGAACTGCTTCCCGCCGACAGATTCGCAGTCCGTTTCGAGAATCCGAGAGACCAGGGCTGCTTCCAGCCGGCAATTTGGTCATGCAAGCATGCCGTGCGCCGAACGGGTACTGGACTCTGCCGCCGTCTGAATCGGCGTTGCTGCTTCATGAAGTTGAGCGAAAGTCCTATGTGCGGCTTGTCAAGGCTGATGCCGAGCCGAAACGGAAACAGTCGTTGTGTGCCGGTGAGCGCGTATTGGAGTTGCCGCTGGAAATGCTAAAGGATATCTTCCAGTCACTGGACATCGTTGAAAGGCTGCGCTGCCGCCACACCTGTCAGCTATGGGATGCTATTCTCACGACGGCGGAACTGTGTAGCGATGTGCGTGTATCGCGGCAGTCGTCAAACGCACCAAATCGGCAAAGTGGGACTAAAATTACGCCCTGTACGCTTGCATCTTCAAGCATATCACGCCCGCAGCGCGTACCCATCTGCATTCGCGATACCGACTCGCGCTATCTTTACCATGGGAGCTTGCATGACCTTGTCACTCATACATCTCGCTTTATTCCTAAAAATTTTATACAAATTTAAAAATAAGCGTGACCTTTCGTGTGTTAAAGCATGGGACAGCGGCATTAAAAATGCACAATTCCAGCATTTGCCGCTGACTTGTCGCTTTTCTAAATTAAATAAATATGCAGTAAATGTTCACCATTACAGGATTGTTTTGATTCCAGTAGTACAATACATATTCATTATAACGCACTGCTTTTGTAATCCTAACAACAGTGACATAATTTCGAAGTATTGGTCAGTGCTTCCACTTCAACACTCCTGCAAAAATGCGAAGGGCAGCAAAATTCTCCACTCCACATTGGCTTAAGAAATGCGCTCGCGGAATCATGCACATGGGATTTTCACAACCCAACCTGCATGAATTATGTTGTCCATTTCTGCCATAATTAATTTCCACCACCTTGACGATGGATATTCGTAACAACCCTTCAGCGGTTGCTCAAGTCCATATTTTCTTAATTATGATTAAATTTATCTGCATTTTCATATGTCTGACCGTTGCTGTCCAAGCTCGTAAATATCAGCTGTAATCAGCAGAAAGTAAATTTGTTTTAAAATATCTGTATGTTTATTTTAATCCGGTACATCATCGAATTTTTTTATTTATTTGGATTAATTAATTGACATCCGTTGACAGAATGGTGGAAGCCAATCAGCAATAGCCCGGCAATTATTAAATCCAAAACTCCGCCCCTGCCGGCGCCAACCACGGGCGCCGCCGCCGGCGATTCGAATACACCGACCAAAGTGTTACCAGACGCTCTGTGGGCCACAGGCTCCAGGATTATCGGCGGTGTGGAGGCGCAGGAAGAAAGCTGGCCGTGGATTGTGGCACTCATCCAGTTCCGGCCGGAATACATGCCGCCCGTCTACCAGTTTTGTGCTGCCAGTCTGGTATGTACAAATGGTAATGTTTTAATAATTACCGTCTAATCGGTATTTGAGTTTAGGGATATTTTTCACATCATTAGAAAATTTATCCGATTATCAAGCCGATCGCCAAGCGAGTTTGTTTCCCCAATACTTGAAACCGTAGTGTACCGTAGAGGCAGTACAGATACAACAGAATCCGCTTGTGACGCTATCGATACGTAAAAATTTCCTCTCTTCCTGAGAGTTCTTGGTTTACGGCAGAAAAATAAAATATAAAACCCTTAGATTTTTATTGCCGCATTTCTTATTCTGATTTTGATGTTTTCATGCTGCTTGCAGTAATAACACCCACACAATTCGTGTTCAGTTTTTACAATATAAATAAACATCATTAATGTAGTGCATAATTAAGCGATAGCCAACCGTGTAGTTTATAAAATGAACACACCGATTTATACTTAATGTGGTACTTTTCTTTAATGAAATTACCATTGCACTGGTTTGATTAACAAAATTCACTACAGATTAGCGATCGCTGGATCGTGACTGCCGGTCACTGCGTGGACAACCACCCCGACGACTTCCTCACCACCCACATTAAAGCGGTGGTCGGGATTACCGACATTAAACAAGTGCTCACCCAGCCGGAGCTACTGCTGCCCATCTCCCGGGTTTTCCACCATCCGGACTACGACAATCCCAAGGACAACACTAACAATGATGTGGCCCTGCTGGAGCTGGCGGAGCCTGTCAAGTTCACCTCGCGTATCCAGCCTATCTGCTTGCCGACGCATCCGTCCACGGATCTGGCCAGTGCCGCCAATATTGACAAAGAACGCGACGGAAAGAAAGTGGCATTTGTTGCTGGATGGGGGCATTTGGTGGAAAACCAAGGTCAGGCGTTTTATAAAAGGTCACTGAAATGATCTTATTTTTTTCACGATTTTGTTCCGTAGTTTTATGTTTTATCATGAAGCCGGTGAAGGTCATCCAGAGACCAGATGTATATAAAATAATAAGTGGAAATACATATCTTATAACAGGACGGAGCGACAATAATTTCGCCGTTCCTATCTTGATCTTGGGCATCGGTTCGGATAAACTGCAGCAAGTGGCCATTGATTTGTATGACCGGACTACGTGCTTTAAACAGCTGGAAGAGTTCACATTCACTGATTGATGCTTTATTCGGATTGTATCATACTGGTATATCTATATGTACTGGTATATCCGGCGCAAAAATAACTAACTGCCGTGAATTTGTGGGTTTGTGGTGGCTTCCGGGAAAATTGGAAAAATTCCTGCCAAGGCGACAGCGGTGGCCCGTTGGTGGCTAAGGACAAGGATGGGCACCACGAGCTGATCGGAGTGGTGTCGTGGGCCGACGTGGGGGAAGGGCTGCGCGCAGCCCGGTGTGCCGGGAATCTATGCGAATGTGTTATATCTAAAGAACTGGATTGAAAGTACTATTGTCAACGCCACTAAAAGGCATAAATTACCTATAAGCAGTAAAAATGTCTTAGCAATAAGTTTAATCGATATCACCGCAACCGTAGCGCATATGAAGAAGACTATACGTGGCTATTCATATGCACTACGCCGCAACTGACGAAGACCACGATTAGCTGACTACAATATACTTTGCTCGTATTGCTTTTATCAAGGTAATAACGTCTCTGCGTGTGTATTGTGTATAATCAAACGGCTGGCTGTTCGGCACAAAAGTTTTAGTTCTTATGGGCGTAGCGTACACCAAAGAGAACGTTCTGGCTAAGCCTATAATAATCGCAACAAACAACAGGAAAACCAAACAAACAGAACCGCTCAACGAGAGCGAACAAACAGGCAGTTCAACGCAGTGAGCCCAAGGGAAACCCAAGGGAAACCCGTGGCCGCGGCACGGGCAAAAAGAAGACGCCGATCGTTTTCCCGAACAATGTATTTCTCGAAACAGGCGCTGCGCCAATTTCCTTGCGCTTTTATAGCTTCTGGAGACGCACCACATTCGGATGCAAATGATGCACCACCCCCGCCGGAAGGAGTGAATACTAAATTTTGCGCCATCGTACCCAGCCTCATGCATAGCAGTCTGCAATAAACGCGTGAATTTGGCCGCGGGCAGGTTTCTTAACGCCCCACTGTTATCACGGTAACAGAAGACTGAACGGTCACTTTCAAGCACACCACTTTCACGAAGCTCTGTAAAAGCTTTAGCGGGGCAAAACACCGAGCCCGGTCGGATCGGGAGCGGAATAAGGATTTTTTCACCAATGCAGTGACTGGTTTTCATAACCGGAGCGGACACGAGAACGTTGTTTTTTCCCACAGTAACATCCCGGAAACGAATGTGTAGATGACCTTTATCGGTTCCAAACAGACTGCGTTTCCGTAACAATGAAAAGAATGCAAACAAACAACTTGAAACAAGCAGCCCAGAACGCCTTTCGTACTTCCGCGGGAAGTCGGTGCACTACTTCAAAAATGCCAACCAAATGGTGTGTCGTAAACTCGTAATTGGGGGTTTTTTGCTAGGAAATTCCCTGCGCTGACGACGCACTCCTTCCATAGCCTGAGCGATCACAAAATGTTTGAGATCCGGCGCCGGTTTATAATGAAGATGGTACAACGGCACAATGGCAGCCAGGTAGTTCTGAACGGAACTAAACTCAAGATTACGTGACAGTGACTTGGCAATGTATAATCAAACTGTACTTGGCTTTGCCGGTACTGACTGAAGCCGATCTTTACTGCAGAAGCTGCTAAACCTCCTCCACTGGGCCTTCCGGGTGCGGACAGAGGACGGTGTCATAGCACTGAGCCGCAACGCGGTCAGGGTCCCGTTCAGACTTGCTATTTGGGTATCTGGAACAGTAGTTACCGCTCAGGCGCAGTACACTTTCACGGTGCCTGATACAATCGACCACGGTCGACTTATAACAATCAGCAGTACAAACACGGCTTAACGCATCCGCAAAGGTGTTATCGGCGACCGGAATATAAAGTCTTTAAGATACAAATCTTAAACAGCTTTACAAATCTTCATTCTAATCTGATAAACTCAATACGGAATTCACGTTAATGATAGTTTGATTGTCACCTTGTCATATAAAAGCGGTGAAGGCGAACCGCGTAGTACAATTTTATGAACGATACTAACGAGTAACGGCTTACGCGTATAGATTACTGCTTTGTATTGCATGGATGACCAGACTTTCCGGATATCCGCTCAGCTGTGGCTTGGCCTCAAGGTCACTGCGCCCGGCTCTTGTTTTATGTAGGAAAATAAAATTCAGGAAGACTTCGCGCCATCGTTTTGGCTAATAAAAATAAATTTACCGCTAAAAAACCTGCTATCTAACCTTCTAGTTAATTCATACGGTGTACGGTACAAAGTTTTAGCCGACAGACGCAGCTGGGCATGAATATACACTATAAACGTCTGAAGCTAACCATTGGTGGAGGTCAATTACATTTGGGTAACCGTTGCGCGTCGGGTAACGGTGGAACGCGTAAAAAATTACGAATGAGTCAGCAAAAAATGAAATGGCAAATAAGAAAACGAGTAAATTTACGTGCCAGGGTGGAAATTGACCATCCAAGTGTAAAAAAGTTATCGTTTAATGCAGCTCCTCTGTGATTCAGACTGGATCATTTCTCGATATAAAAACAGTACATAATCTCATTGGAACTTAATTATGGATTACGAGTGCGTAACATAATATTATCTTTTGTTATTTTTCTGGTATGGCACCGACGAAAAAACAGCGAGACAAAAAAATTATCAGTCTGATCTTGAGCTGGCAGCAGGCCTCTGTTAGCCACCTTTGGTTTTATGGGTCCTCGCTTCTTCTTCGCGGAGACGTCCTCTTAGGAGATGTCATAATGGCACAGTACGTGATAAAAAATAATTACAACCTACAGCACTTGTGTTCAGCAATGCGATCTCGATATGATGATGATAATTACACCCCAAATAAAAATCGTAAACGATAATAGCACAACAACTTCTAAAGAGAAATAATTTTGTAGCGTCAAGCCAACAATTAAAATTTTTCAGAACTTCAAAAATTTGCTGATCGGTGCGCGTAAGAAGTTTGGGTAATGGTTGCGCTTCGACGTCGAAGCGCAACGCTTACGCGGACAAGTAAGCCAAAAACCCATCCCAGATTTCGCGATTACCAATCAGAATGTTTACTTAATTACGCGCTGTTACGTCACACTTTTTACGCGTTTCCCCGTTACCCGACGCGCAACGGTTACCCAAATGTAATCGACCTCCACCATTGTAAAACGCGTAAAATTAATGCAGGAAAAATAAGCATACATGCAAAATGCATTTACTGTAAATACCGCCGATACATAACTTCGCGCCAAATACCTAGTTGAAGCGCTATGGTTAGTTGAGGAGACCGCCATGCATGCTGGTATCCGTCTCGAACGTCTCATCGTGCACCAGCGTTCCATCACGATCGCACCGCCAGCACAAGGTGTTCCATGGAAATTCAGTTGGATTTCTGATGAGATGGCCGTGAACAGTGGTGTGCTGCGAGCGTGTGATTTGGAAAGAATCTTTCCAAATCACACGCTCGGAGCACGATATGCTTTGCCACTGTTAGGCACGGACGCTGTTCCCGCATTGGAATTCCGTATTCGGCTGTCGTCATCACCCTGGAAAAATAGCTTCGTAAATGTGCATCTTATGGTTAGAGACTTAGGGTGGAGGATTTCGAAATCAGTCACCTCATTTTCAGACGCTTTTCTGTCCCAGCAAATTTCCATTTCAGTGCTCGGCAGTCAGCATGTAAGGGAACTGGATGTGTTTAGGGTTCCTGTCGCATCCTGTTCGTGATTTTATTATTTTAAATTTTTGGAGCGCGCATCGGCATCCCAGTTTCCACTTGTTTAGTTAATTGTGGAGGTCGCTTTTACACCAAACCAGAGTTCCATCTTTTCGTGACACTGGAAATTAAATGCCAAGATTTACAAATTTGAGAATTCAGGAGAAACAAATCCGGCTGCCGGTATGGTTCGGCAAATTTGGCTGATAATCTTCTTAGTCTGCTTAGGTACACCGTGAAACCCAGTGAATAACTCTGTAGATTCTTCAGGACTACCAAAGCAGGAATCCCCGTCCGTCGGCACATTACCATGGACGCCAGTGGAGTGTAGACGATCTAACCGGTGAAGGTTCGCCTGACGTGGGCAAACTGAACCGGTACTGCCTGCGGCGTTATCGCACTACATGTTCAGCATCGGCGGATGACGACAACGTATATATGGTGCCATCCCGCGACCCCAGCGCTAAATCTGTTGTAGTTTGAAAACGGCGTTGTACTGTATTACTGCCAGTTTTTGACCCTTACCGTTTACGCTCGCGTAATTTTGCGGCAGGTTCATTGAACCGTGACAGGTGCGGTATACGACTAGAATCAGTCGTAGCATATATAAAACTGTAGTTTCGGTTTTTGGTCTTCGATATCCGTGTGTAAACAAAAGTAATTTTGGCGCCCGTAGAGTACGGAAGGGTCCGGCCGGTTGAAGGAAGCGGTGGGGCCTAACAGTCATGTGACATGAGTCATGTGACATGAGTCGAGTAACGATGCGTGAAACTTGTAGATGGCGTTGTTAGCTCGGCATCTTTTTAGGTTACATTATGTGCTCCTACATTATGTAGGAGCACCTTACTGTGCTCGTACATAATGCAGGAGCACATTGCATCGGTTCTGTGGAGGAGAAAAACGGAATTGTAGTATCCAAACAAACGTAATCCAGTATGCTCCTGCAATGTGCTCCTACATATATGTCCTCCTACATATATGTGCTCCTTCATATGTATAGTGTTGGGTCGGCCCGGCCCTGCCCGGCCTCTAACGATCCCAGATTTGCTGCATGCATAGAGGAAAACGGTTGCAGAACTTCAGGCCCGGGCCGTCGTTTACACGGCCCGGGCCGCGGGCCGATCCGGGCTGCGGCCCGACATGTCCCCGGGCCGCGGCCCGGGCCGTCTTGCAGCAAAGTAAAGATTTCATTCCCGGATGTCATTATGCGAGCGGCTACAGCGGGTATGTCAACGGAAAAATAGACGGATTTTGGCCTAGAAACGTTTAATGCTGTAAAAATTAAGAAAAACTCATCGAAAAAGACTAAATTTCAGTAAAACCCAAAGAAATTTTTTGTTTTTCAAGGTTTTTTCCATATTTAACGTCCACAACGGGCCACGGCCCGGGCCGCAGCCCGGGCCATGGCCCTTCTCCCCGGGCCGAGGGCCGCGGCCCGACGCGGCCCTCCCAAAAGGGGCGGGCTGACCTCGGTCCGGGCCGTTCGGGCCGCGGCCCTAGGCCGGGCCGGCCCAACACTACATATGCACATTGCAATGTGCTTCTACATAATGTAGGAGCACATTGCAGGAGCATATTGTATGTGGAGATTATAAGGGGTAGGAAATAAAGTGCTGAATAGAGAATTTGTTAATATAGTAAATTATATTAAAAGTGATATGTTTGACGAAAAGTGATAATGAAGAAAGGGTGAATGTTAAATTAGGGTGAAGGTAGTGGGAGTTTTACTATAGTATGGTAGAAATATATTCGACTTTCTGGTTGTTTGCATTTGAGTGTTTAATGAAGTGTTACAGGAAGTGGAGTGTGTTGCGGGTTGTAGATAGTGATGGATTATTGTGGAAAATTCAAGAAATTTCGAGAAAGTTGATTGCTTAATGGAGCACACTATTATGTTTTGCTCTGATAGTCTTGGATGTGTAGGAACAGGTGGTTTGTATGTGGGAAGTAGGTTGGTAGGTACATTAAAAGGTTGTTCGAGGAAATGTATAGTTTAATTTGGTTGTTGACTGGATTTTTTGAGTTCGGTGGAAATTGAGAAATCTTGTGTTTGAGTTATTATGGAGTGGTCGAAGTATATGGAGTGAGCAAAATGTTTTTCGTGTTGGTTTTTTTTGGTGGCCGGTATGGATTTGTGGATACTTACTGATTCAGGTTGCTGTCTTTGTTTGGCTTTGGTAAGTCTTTTAGGTTGAGTTTGGTTTAGTAAGTTTTCTTTCATACATTATTACAGAATTCTTTTTTAATAAAATAATGGAAGGTGGTTGTGATCGTGAGAAATACATGCGTGAGTATATGCGTGGTTATATAAAGAAATGCAAAATCAAAACTGATGGTAATTGTAGCAGGGAGAATAATGTGCGAAGTAGTGATGATGTTAGATAGAGAATGTAAAAGTTAAAAAACAAAAATGTAATCGGAATACTAAAGGTGGTGCGTTTTCTGGTATGTTTGGAAAAAATTATTGGAGAATTTTTGGACAATTATTGGACAATTGTTGTAAAGGAACGTGCTAAACGACATTTGCGGAGTATGGTAGTATGTAATGGTTGTCCGGATCTTTTCTTAAGCATTACTTTACGATTTTGTCCTGAATTTGTTGTGTTTTGCTGACCCTGTTAAGTTTACATTTTTGTTTTTTGACTTCAAATTTTCATGTCTAACATCATCACTACTTCATTATCTTCCTTGCTACAATTACCATCAATTTCCGTTTTGCGTTTTTGTTCTATAATCACGCACATACTCACGCATGTATTTCTTGCGATCACAACCAGTTTCCATTATTCTATTAAAAAAAAACAATACTTAAAAGAAGCTATCTATGAAAGCAAACTTACTAAACTATACTTAACCTAAAAAGACCAAACAAAATTCAACAACCTGAATCGGTACGCTTCCGAAAATCTAAACCGGCCACCAGAAAATAACCAACAAGAAAAACATTCTCCTCACTGCATATACTTTGTCAAATCCATAATAACTCAAACACAACGTTCCTCAACTTCTAATATACCCACCGAACTCAAAAAATCCAGTCAACAAACCAATTAAACCAAACATTCTCTCGAACAACCTTTTAATGTACGTCCCAGCCTACATCACATATACAAACCACCTGTTACTACACATCCAAGACTATCAGTGCAAAACATAATAGTTCGCTCCATTAAGCAATCAACTTTCTTAACTACACAAATTACTACTACACAAATTACTACCACCAAAATGACTGTGTAAACCTATGGAAAGTTACAGACTAAACGCGCAATTTTCAAGGTCTCAACTGTAGTAAAGAAACACCCACAACCTCTCATGTCCTTCATGCACTCACAAAATTCTTTCCCCTACTATTATTATTCCTTTTATATACACAAATCCGAAATTATTTTAAATCCCAGAGATTCCTTTTTTATCCCGTACCTGCCGCTGCACAATCGAGAGATTGTCCACGTAGTGTATAATTACTTTACGTTACTGTTACTTTCTTCCCACCCAAACGTTTGCTGTTTACTATTCGTCCGAAACTTTACTGGAGTAATGGAGCTATTCCAGGAGTACTAAGCCTAATAATACGTAGTAATTCTTTTTCTAGCCAAGATTTTCAGTCCAGGAAATTTGTTTGTTTTGTTTTGCCAATGAAAATTAAATGGTGCACCGCGCGCGTCACAGTGCAGGCTGTGCAGTGCGCGAACTCTTCCAAAAGTAGGTCTTGCACATCTTGGCTTCGGCAACAAATGTCACAACATGCAAAAACATTTTTTTCCGTAAAGTTGACGAGCGTTTCGAAGCGAGTGGCATGCATCCGCCGCATGTTTTTTAAACTGCAAACAACTGCACACAGTACAGAAAAACTGTACACAACTGTAAACTACAGTTGTGATCATTTAGCTATGTAATTAGAATATTCTAACGGTTCTGGGCACCGTTTTGTTTAACGTTGGATGCAGTTGTTACAGTGCGATTAAAAGCAGACCATGGGTACCAGTCCTTTGAGAGCATGCACACTGCACAATATGCTAACAATGAAGGTATTTTCACTTGTCTCAAATTGAAACAGGTTAGTCGTAGGAGAAACATATGGGAGATGTATCCCACAAAGAGATGCCGCCGTCATGGCAGCCGGCGGCGACGAATTTTCGTTCTTGGCTGGAGGCGCAGGTGGTGGGAACAGTCTTGAGGCCGCTGGAAGATTTCACTTTGAGACAGACTCTGTGTTTTTCTCTGTTGTCGATGGACCAGATGCGGAAGGCGCCGTCGTATGGGAAGATGCAGAAATCCGATTTGTCTATCAGTGAAAACCAATGAGGACCTTACCACAACAAAAAAAGTTCGATCTTCCATGTTTTAAATTCCAGGTTTAACTACTTTCTACCCTAGTAATCCCTCTGATTCCCACTTCCAGATAAATGCGTTTGTAGATACTGTAGAACTGCAAGACGTAAACTAAATACGGTACGTAATATGAGATGTCTGCTACTGCACTGCACAACTGATGCACGTGTTTTATTAGGTATAGGTAAGTACGCAAATCACATTTGATAATTTCAATGGCAGCCGCTACCCGGTAGTGTCACTGACGGCAGCAGTGGCAGAACCACTGCAATTGCATTTCTAAACATCTTGGGCTTTTCATATTCATCTATTACCAAGCAAATTACCTAGTAATACCTACCTCCAAAGCCGTCTCCGAGCAGCCAGGCTTGCCGCAAAGCAAGGGATGAACTGCTTTCACGTGTGATATCATGTCTTTAGTGTTACACCTTGCGATGGCTTCGCATCCCTGCCAAAAGAACCCACACACTTCTACTATGCTAGAAATACCAAGTTGAAGAAAACTCACTTCAGTCACCTGGGCCGGGCAACCAAAGAAAACATCGGTTTCCCTGCGAACCTGACTTTTATGCACAATAAAGATGTGAATTCTCATTTGCTGCGAGTTGCGGATAATGTTGTCTTTGCACGGCTCAACATTGCAGACATAACGCAAGCAATAATTCTGTTAACCAAACACATTCGTGCAAGAAATCTCAATATCCATGTGATGTGTATCTTCTGTACGAGTAGACCAACCGTGCATATCTATTACAGTAAACGATGAACCGAACCTCAACAACGGTTGGAATGACGAATTTATCTGGAATCAGTTGGCTGGGAAACGGCTGAGTCGTGTTGTATACCCATTCCGGAAACGTTTTACGCCCATCCAGGTGTTTGAGATAAGCCATATCTTCCAGTTTCTGTGTTCAAAGCACAGGTTAAAACTGAAATGAAATTTATCTATTTTCTACTGATATAAGATTTCTTGTACTGTTACTTCTTCTACTGATATTTTTTCAAAGTTTAAGTTAAAGCCACGTGCTTACTTTTCTTCAAATAAACCAAATGAATGTATATACGAACTAACTTGTCTCGATACTCGTACTACCGATCCGTAGAGCTAGCTGCCTAGTGCCTACTGTTAATTTTAAGTTTTTAACTGCTGCCTGTCTACAAAACATGTTTTTAATAGCGTTTATAAAGGCGCATGCTGCATAGTTGTCATACCAAATCATATTCCTCCAGAAATTCTTCAAGGAAATCCGATTTGTCATCCGGGTTCATACAGCACATTAATGTTTGCAGTTTTTCAAAGTGATCTTCATGAGCAGTTGTCAGGTGATTCTCCAAAAACATTCCTGTGTGCTGATCATAAACGACAACCGGACATTCCATATTTCCATTGCATTCCGCAGGACATGGGCACAACAGATTGATCTGCACGTTGGTTAGTGCGTGCGCGGCTTGCAGATGTGCCTTCAGTGTTTCCGTCGACGTATAGCACAGGTTCTTACAAGCGTCGCCGTTTACGGTCCCGTATAAAGGACATTTAATCGGATTGTAACCATACTACACATTGTAGTCGGTCAGTTTGAAAGAGAAACCGCAAACGTAACTTCATAAGTACAGTACAGCTAAGACAAACGTCCAGAATAATAAAAACCAATAAGAATTATACTGGTACTCGCTATTCTTCCAAATGTTTTACCAGGCTCTTACCGATAATGTTCCCATAACGAGCACATGACTGGCCAGTTCCGTTTTGCGTATAATAATACTATGAGGAATTATGGTCGTTTCCAGCACTTTCGTATCGGGTCGCGCGGAGTATTTCTAGGAAATCGCATATCTTTAACAAAATTAATAGAAAGCGTCTCTTTATAAGCTCAACATATCTATTCTGAATAATATTAAAAACTCTGTTGACTTACTTGAACTACATACTTTAGTTTGCAGTACACTACTATACAAGTAATAAAATTAATAATTATGATAATTCGATCCGCTTTTTGCTGGTCTGTATTCATCAGCCTATAATATTCTGAGGATGTAGGTTCCTCGATAAATATACCAGAACGTTCGGTAGCTTCGGGCAATTCATCGGTTTTGCATCTTGGGACGAAGAGTTAGGAGAATCGTTCGGGTCGCTGCTTGATTCTCCAGTACGAGGAACTTTCTCGTCTCGCTCCCCACGTTTGAGCTTCTGGTCGAACGTATTATCACTATCCGAGGAGATGGCCATCGGTTCAAGATGATCGCGTGATATCATTTTGATGGTTGAAAACGGTAAATTTAATACAACAAAACGTTGTCCACACTCCACAGTACTATTGTACTGTACAGTGTGTACACAGTTGTTCCCACAGAACTGTAAGCTGCAGTAATAAATAAAACAATCCCAAGTTAGCGACAGTCGCAACACCATCGCAATACTCGTAATGTTGTTGCGTCAGCCTGCATGATGGCTGCATCGCAAGACTCGCATTAAAAGGCCTACTGTAATGCCTGCCATTTATACCGGCCTAAAAAATGCGGTACATACATAGCCTAAACAAGCTGATTTAACATCTGACTGGTATTATGTATAGCAATATAATAATAGCATTAATATTATTATGTAAGTTCATGCAGAGAAACCACAAAGGAAAACTATTCAAACCGCCTGTTTGTGCTCTTTGGCAGAAGTAAAATAAGTTGCCATTTGCCAAGTACACAGTACATATTATCGACCGGAGTGCAGCGAAGGTCCTCTTAATTCAGCACCAATGCAAAAACGTACTGTATCTGTGTCCGTTACGGAAGTGCCAACAAACGATAACACAAATAATAAAACAATAACAAACAAACAAACAATAACGCAAATTGCGCCTACAACCATTCGCGGTAACTTTCATTCCGTGCATAACCACTTTGAATCCGTTAACTCTGAGTACCGGCAAATGCGAAACGGATTTATTTTTTACTTGTTAATGAATTTCCACAACAGCTGTTTGTTTTGAAATTATTTCGATCCAAGCTGTGTACATTTCTCATAAAATCCTACTGAACTTCAAGGTAACAGCGCAAAAAAATGCAGTTTCTGTTGTCTCCTCCGAGTGAATTTTCAGACGTCGAATTCAGGAATTTGACACACGGAAAATTCGCTGACCACTTTCCTGCTGATCGACAATTTGCTGAGGACGTTTTGCTGACCGAAGAAACGATGACCCGACCGGTGAATCATTGATAGTACATAGCACATAACTGGAAAAAATGCACGTTGGCGTGCCTTGACAGGCCGGAGCGTTGCTGGAAAGGTTGGGAACGGTGTGGTCACACATTCAACCGAGCATTTTTGTCGTGTTCTCTGAGTTTCCCCAAATTCAATGACAGGCTAGGGCGTTCGAAAGTGCCAGACAGTATCGTCCTTTTATAATCAGTTGCGCAAGAAATCCGCAGAGTCGGATGCCGAGCCGAAACGGAAACAGCCGTTGTGTGCCGCTGAGCGCGTATTGGCGTTGCCGCTGGAAGTGCTAAAGGAGACCTTTCAGTCATTGGACACCGTTAAAGGCTGCGCTGCCGCCGCACCTGTCAACAGTGGGATGCCATTCTCACGTCGACGAAGCTGTGTACTGATGTACGTATCGCGGCAGCGGACCCGATCGTCAACGCGCGCCAACTCTCAGAAATGCGAGCATCAAACACATAACTACGACTGCATTTTTCAGGCAATATTCCAGCGATTTCTTGCGAGCATCAAACACATAACTACGACTGCATTTTTCAGGCAATATTCCAGCGATTCTGATGATCAGCTCCAATGTGCCAAACCATGTACTCACGATCCCAGTACTCCACCGAACAATCCTACAAGACAATCAAACCATACTTATCGATTATGATTTTTCAGTTAGTGCTAATACGTTGTGCCACAGGTAAATGAAATAGTACATAAATATACCAATTATACGACGAAACAAGCATGTGTGTCATTGTGTGAAATGTTTTACTGTTACGATTTTTTCCTAAGTTCAAAAGCTGCTGCATGGAAGAAGTACGAGAAGCCCACCATATGGTCAGCATGCTCATGTTGCCTGCCCTTAAAACTGGAAAACTGGTATTTTAATTCGAAATTTAGAAGTTCTTTATGAGCCAGCATACCGGTACAGGGCACGAGTACTTGCAGAAGTGCCGGTGCATTTTGTCACTACAACAATCTTCACACTTCTCCAAGGAACCATCCAAAGTCTCTCTGACGAGCACACGACGCCGATCCATATCCATTATCAAGTCCCTTCGGTTCTGTGAACACAACGAACAGTATTAAATTGTCTTGAAATCTGAATTCCTAAGTTCCCATACTAAATTAACTCATATCTCCAGTCGCCACCGCCAGATTAAATCGCTTTGCACGACAGCAAAAAAACAAAGTTTTAGCCCCATTCTATTGTTAGTGGAGCTAAAGTGGCCATGAGAATTTTACCTTTCAAAGTGAGGTGGCGGTGACAGACGGACACCACATTTTTCATAGAAACTTAATATAGAGAACCTTCGCTACGCTTCGGTCGAAAGTGTTAATATTCAAATTACAACACCCACCTGCAATGCGTTCTCGGAGTAGTCGGGCTTGCCGCAGAGTAAAGGATGCATCGCTTTCACGTGTGATACCATATGCTTCGTTTCGGCCATCGCGATATCATTGCATCCCTGGTGAATGAACCCAAACGCTTTAGTGACTTCAGAGTAAGTTCAGACACATGTCAAAGTAGAAAAAGAGCTCACTGGAGCAGGGCATCCAAAGAACAGGTCGGTTTCCATGCGCACCTGCTCCTCGTGCGCAACAGCGATATGACTTTTTATTTGTCGCGCGTAGCGAAAGCCAGTTCTTTTACATGGTTCAAGATTGCAGACGTAACGTAAGCAGCAATTCTGTGAAATAACGAACGTTCTATAAACTGCTGCAAAACGCATCTACCTAGAATTCTGGAGGATAAATATAATCATTTTGCTAATTGCAACCCCACCTCTACGACGGTAGGAATGACGAATTTATCTGGAATAATCTGGCTAGGAAACGGTTGTTTTGCATCCAGATCAAGTACCCATTCCGGAAATGTTTTACGCCCGTTCAGATGGTCCAGATATTTTATATCGTCCATTTTCTGTTATCAGACCAAAGGTTGAAATTAATCATTACACAAAGTACGATATTATTAGCCTGTAAATAATAGGTAAAATATTTAATGTTAGGCCTTCAGAAATGTCCAGATTTACTGATACGAAGAATTTTCTACAGAAAGGATTTTGTATGGTTGATGCCGGCGGATTAACTGTGGTAAAAAACGCTTTTATCATACCAAATCATTCTCTTCGAGAAATGCTTCGAGAAATTCCTTCTGGTCATCATCGCTTATCGCAGCATGTTAATGTTTGCAGTTTTTCATAGAACTCCTTGTGAGCAAGCGTCATGTGGTCATCCAGAAACACCCCGGAGTACTGATCGTACACCACAACCAGGCATTCCTCATTTCCGTTGCATTCCGCGGGACAGGGACACAGTAGATTAACCTGAACATTAGTTAGTTCGTGCGCAGCTTCCAGATGAGCCTTCAGACTATCCGTCGACGTGAATTCCACTGTGTTACAAGCGTTGGTTTCGGTTCCGTACGGGCACTTGATAGGATTGTCTCCATACTGCAGATTGTAAGCGGTCAAGGCCAGTTAACAATAAATAACAAAAACATAAGTGACAGTAACCAAGGATCTTATTAGCCAGCCATAAAATTTATCGTTAGTCTCTTACCGATACTGTTCCCATAACAAGCACATGATTGGCCAGTTCCGTTTGGCGAACAATAATTTTATCAGGAATTACGGTCGTTTTCAGCACTTTCGTATCGGGTCGCGCGGAGTATTTCTACGAATAAAAAGTCAAGTTCCTATCACGTTTATTTTCACGCAGTCCAGAATGGATTATTCCAGTGCGATAAGCAGTTATCATTATTCAGTTTCAGTACAGTAAGTACTTTTAACAACAGTCCACAAACTTCACGGAAATTCAGCCTGATTTACTCTGTATAATATGTAATTAATTATAATATACATACTTAAATTCTACAATTAATTGTTAATATTCAGATTATGCTTTTAGTGATCTTTGTTCTTCGGCGTGAAAGCGCAGACCATGAAGAAATTTTTTAAGGAAAACATTACTACGGTTGGTTACTACATTACTAGCGCATTCGGTTGCTCCAGGGCCTTCATCGGCTTTCCGTCTTGGAACAACTCAGAGTGAGGAGAATCGTCTGGATCGCTGCTGGATTCACCAGTACGAGGAACTTTCTGGTCGCGTTCCCATCGTTTGCGCTTCTGGTTGAACGTATCGTCACTATCCGAGCAGGTGGCCATCGGTTCAAGATGATCATGAGACATCATTTGGAGCAGACCATAAATTTAATACAGTTACAAAACTCACGAAAAAGTACGCCGCGATGGCGCCAAAACGCGAATCAACGTTAAAGAAAAAGTCCCCAAGTGCAGAGTCACCCTGGCTTGTTGACGCGTCGCAACAGGCTACTACTCTTACATGCGTAGAACGTATTTGCAAATTGATAGCAAACCGGATGAAAACAAATATTTGACGCTCAAAAATATAATTTTACAGTAAAATTTAGTATTAAAATAGTATTTGCAAACTGCAGTTTGCTGCGCGAAAATCGTTGGTCTTCACTCTTCACTCTCCAGTGACTCTTCCTTCACTCGCTTGTCAGTTGTGGCTTGTCTTAACAGTTTAATCTGAAACTGGAACCCGGCGGCGGAAACGTTTGCGGCGCCCGTCAGCAATTCAGCCAACGTTTTCAGCTGTCTGTTCACAACGATGGATCATGCACACAAACAGCGAATTATGGTAAGTAATTTTATTGGTCAAAACAGACGTGATACACAAAATGAAAGAACCAGGAAAAATTACAACAAGAACATCTTATAATCTTATTTATTTATTAATTCCTTCCATCGTGCCCACTGCTCAGCGTTGACGCCGCGTTTCCGTTGAATTTCTATCGACAAGCGCTGTCGTAAAATTGTATTTACAGTAACATGTAAAAAAACTGACAAAACTGAATTGTATTTCTTTTTAAAAGTTGTCACGCAAGCTAATTCTTTTACTCCCGTTAACGGATCCTTGCGGGCTCGCTCAAACTGCGCCTGCTTACTGCGTTGCTTCTCTTCCTTGTACAAAGGGCACAGCGAACGTGGTAATAGACGTAATCCGCGGTCACCAAATCCGCCAGCTTCGGTTTGACGCGTTTCTCGGGCGTCCGGATAAGCAGTGCCCTGGCCCTGTTGTAAGTGCAGGTGGTGGGGACGGTCTTCAGGCAGCTGGCGGATTTCAGTTTCAGGCAGACTTTGTGCTTCTCCTTGTTGTCGATAGATCAGATGCGGAGAGTGCCGTCGTAGGAGGAGCTCAGAATTCCGGTTTGATTTTGGGCGAAAACCAGCCGAAAGTTAGCATAGCAACGTCACCCTAAACAGAACCTTACAAACACAAACTCGGTAACGGAAAATATCGGCAAATAGTTTGATGCAAAAATACAAAACTAGCTTATCGAGAATTTGTCGGTAAATAAAATATAATTTAACACTGCTATAATAAAACCACTTTGTAATACGCATGACGTTAAACATAATAATATTAAAATAAATTCATGCACATCACACCAACATTCAAAACTGGAAACGATAATCTATCAAAATCTTCTTTCTACCAGCACAAAATTAATAATAAACGGTATTATATATACTTCAAGCAGTAGTCCAGATTTTTTGATGATCAGCTCCAATGTGCCAAATCATATAATCCCGATCCCAGTACACCACCGTGCAACCTACAACACAGCAATAAAACTTCCAGATTATGCCGAAACACGCATCTATAGCACACTTTTAACGCAATGTTGTTTTATTAATCAACTCTCCGCACATACCTCAGCCGGACATGAGTACTTGTACAAGTACCGCGTGTACTCCTCCTTTTCGCTATCAGGACTGCTGTCATCGGAATCCTCAGATGAATCGTCCAGAGTCTGACTGACCCGTACAGAACCACTATCCATTTCCATTATCATGCGCTCTCGTTTCTATGAACACCAAAGCACATAAAATCAGAATTTTCAGCCAGCATTTTATACGAACACGATGGCTATGCTGTACAATAGCCGCTCGCCGTCTAATAATCTTTTAATATCAGTACTGACGCAGTATGCGTCATTTGCTGCGACTTCCGTATAGCATGTCAGTATCTTTATTTTCAAAATTAGTATGCTGTGGTTTTTGTAAAATAGTGTCAAATGCCCAGAGGAGATATCTGTCCCACTGCACAGGACAATAAATAAAACTGATACAGTATTATTGTTATTATCACCGTACTGCGATGAGACTAATCCTAATTTCAAATTTTAAAAAAAATGAAATCTGTAATCTGCAGCGGCTTCATGAGTAAGATTATCAGAAAGAAAACGCTACACTCACCTGCAAAGCGTTCTGCGAGTAATCAGGCCTGCCGCACAAAGAAGGATGCATCGCTTTCACGTGCGATATTATGAGATTCGTGTTGGACTTCACGATGTCCTTGCATCCCTGCAGAAAAAGCACAAACGCTTCAGCTACTCACAGCACATGCGCTTTAGCCACGAAAAGGCCAAACGCTTAAGGTACACATAGCGTGCTACAGCTTCAATTACTCACTGGGGCAGGGCATCCAAAGTAAAGGTCGGTCTGCATGGGCACCTGTTCCAGGTGCACTGTGCAAATGTGACTTCTGATTCGTCGCGGGCTGGGGAAACGGTTCCCTTTACATGGTTCAAGGTTGCAGACGTAATACAAGCAACGATTCTACAAAACAATCACTCAGTGCTTAGCAAAATATCAGAACATCCCTGTGGACCGTAGGGTACAGATTAGAATAAATTATAATCTGTATCTGTCATTAGAATAAATGCACCACACCTCTACAACTGTTGGCTGAACGAATTTGTCTGGAATCAGCTGGCTTTAAAACGGTTTAGTCACATCGCGTGTCCATTCCGGAAACGTTTTACGCCCATCCAGATGCTTGAGATAATCCATATCTTTCCTATTCTGTTTTTACAACAAGAGTTAAATTAGAATAAATTTGGACAGCGGAAGTGGACATTATGAAACGTAATTACTCGTATGTTCCGCATTCTAGCAGAATTTATTGACCGTATCCGTGAACATAATAATGTACGTGTTCAGTAAATTTAAAATCCATAAAAAATTTATATTGAACTACAGCTCATTTTTTATTAAGCTCTTTCGTTTACTAAACGCAAAAGCACTCACAGCTTCGCGCGAAGCTTGACGATGCAGTATTAGGTATTCAGAAAGCCGGAGAAAACCATCCAGTGTTCAGTACATGTTACAGCAAGCGAATTAAAGAAAATGGCATATTTATCGTGTGTTGAAAATAATATAATAATCCTTTCAAGTTTGCTGGCTCCCTCGTAAAAAGGAGCCTGACAACAGCTGGCGCGTTCAGATTTCATTAGCACACCTTAATTCTCCCATCTGAAGCCTCTTCCGAAATTTTGTACTCAGACTCAATGAAAGCGTTAACTTGCCAGTAACAGCGAACACAATGTTGTACCCGTTCGCCAGTCACCTTTTCGCACTAATAATACGTAGTAGGAGAATAATGACCCGTTTATATATTATGCAATCCAGTTTTCGTACTAAAAAATTTTTAATATGAAACCGTACCAAATTGTTTTCCTTCAGGAATGCTTCGAGGTCATCCTGGTCATCGTCATCGTCAACATCCACGCAGCACAGTAATGCCTGGAGTTTGTTGTAGAACTGCTCATGAGCCTCGGTCAAATGATCTACCAGATACAGTCCTGAGTACTGATCATATATGGCAACCGGACATTCCTTATCTCCGTTGCATTCCGCCGGACAGGGACACAACAGATTGATCTGCACATTGGGCAACTGGTGCGCGACTTCCAAATGCGCCTTCAGCCGATCCGTCGACACAAACTTGACGTTGTTACAGGCGTTGGTTTCGGCCCCGTACGGACACTTGACAGGACTGTCAGAATACTACAGAAGTGGCCAGTTGTAGACATAGACACACAGTCACATAACACACGAATGACTAATAATCCATAAATAATAAATAAAAAAAATAAATAACGGTAACCAAGAAGCTTGTTAGCCAGCCAGAAGATTTATCATTAGTCTCCTACCGATACTGTTCCCATAACAAGCACATGATTGGCCAGTTCCGTTGTGCGAACAATAATTTTGTTAAGAATTACGGTCGTTTTCAGCACATTCGTATCGGGTCGCTTCGGAGTATTTCTACGAATAAAACTCCCGTTGGTTGAACGTTTATTCTTCGAACAGTTTAAAATATATTATTACAATGAGGGACAAAATCTTATTAATTAAAAAAAAATTTAATTATAAATGAAGTACTACTTAGTGTCCTAGTATGCTTCTAAAGTTCTTACTGATCGTTGATCTTCGGCCGGAAAGTTCGGACCAATAACAGATATTCTCAAAAGCATTACCAGCACATTCGGTTTTTCCAGGGCCTTCGTCGGTTTTCCATCTGGGAACGAAGAGTTAGGAGAATCGTCCGGAACGCTGTTTGATTCTCCCGTGCGAGGAACTTTCTCGTCCCGCTCCCATCGTTTGCGTTTCTGGTTGAACGTTTCCTCACTATCGGAGCAGGTGGCCATCGGTTCAAGATGATCATGAGACATCATTTTGGAGGCAGATAGTCAGATACCGTACATAAATTTAATACAGCAAAACTTTTGCTGCAGCAGTTAGAAAACTTACTGTTACCAGTTACAGTACTTAAAAAGGTGAAAAGTACTTAAATACGCTTACGTATTAGTTATTAAAGAGTACCAACTAGGCAACTACCCAGCAAAGACACATTGAAAGACTGCATTCTCTATCAGAACACTGAACAGTTTTAATATGATACTCGACCCCAGGGGCGGTAATGTTTGTGGCAACTTTGCGCACTTTTAGAACATAGTGGCTACTGGCCCGCTAGCACTAAGCAGTGCCAATTTAGGTAATATTTTGTGAATTGTATTTCTTTTAAAGTTGTCACCAAAAGCTAGTTCTTTGATTTCCGCTTGTCCATTTATTAAAGTACGTAAAATGATACCAGCATAATTTCTTATGAGCACGAATTAAGGGTAATATTTGGTAACGATCACAGTTTCACAACAAAGTTTATGATCGTCCTTTTATTCCATCTGCGACAATTCGTCCTTCGACTCGTGTCAACAAGATTTCGTCACTTATTTAAAAACAGCGTGTCTGTCTTACATATGATTGCTACATACTGGCCATCAATCAAACACTACGAGTACGAGTAATACAGTACCACACTGTATCAAACCCATTAGCTACATTTCTACAACAACAGCCCAACAACTAAAACTTTTTCTGTTTCTTGGCCACACTCTCCCCCAATTCATGTCCCGCCGCATCCCCCTCGCCCTGCTGAAAGATCGTATTGGGTTGCGTCTTCGCGTAGGCCGGCGACACCCAATACGGGTCCTTGGCCGCCGCTTCCGCGTGCCGTAACAACGCCTGTCGGGGATCCACATCCTCATCCTTCCGCTTCTGCGCATACCCCAACTTCCGCACCAAAAATGAGCTCAACGTCCCACCCGCCTGTCCCACGCGACCACCGGCACCGGGGCCCGTAACCGGCAGTTCCGGTCGTTGGGATTTGATCGGGTCCTTGCGGGCCCGCTCAAATTGCGCCTGCTTACTGCGCTGCTTCTCTTCCTTGTACATAGGAAGCGCGAACGGTGTATAAACGTAATCCGCGGTCACCGAATCCGCCAACTTCGGTTTGACGCGTTTCTTGGACGTCCGGCAGAGCAGCGCGCCGTTGTGCGAGATGTTGGGATCGAAGAAAACCTTGACGGTGCCTTCGTTGGTGCTGGCGAAGATCTGGTTGAGCCGGGGATGCCACACGATGCGGATGACACTCTGCGGACCGACCGGGTGCTCTTTCACCACATTAAACGTGTTCCGGTCCAAAAACACCAGTTTCCCGTTCTCCCCGCTGCCTTTCTGCACCGCCGTTCCGCAGAGAACGACTTTATCATTCGGACTGAATACGCAATCGGACTGCGAGGAGATATTGGATAATCCGCGCGCCTCGAACACGGGCTTCTTCAGCATGTTCAGATCCCACAACTTCACCGTGTCGTCCAGACCCCGCGAGCACAACATCCGGTTGTCGTAGGAGAAGCAGATGGAGGAGATGTCGGTGGCGTTCTGGTGGGCGTTGCGGATGGTCTTGGCCGGGTTGACAAAGTTGGCTTTGGTGGTGTCCCACATGGAGATGCTGCCGTCCTGGCAGCCGGCGGCCACGAATTTCCCGTCTTTACTGTAGGCGCAGGTGGTGGGGACGGTCTTGAGGCCGCTGGCGGATTTCAGTTTCAAGCAGACTTTGTGCTTTTCTTTGTTATCGATGGACCAGATGCGCAGCGTGCCGTCGTAGGAGGAGGTGCAGAATTCCGATTTGACTTTGGGTGAAAACCAACCGGAAGTCAACATACCGATGTGACCCTAGATAGAACCGGGAAATCTCAAACGACAGTCGAAAACAAGATACAAAACAGAAATATTTGAGTGGTACAAAACTATGATTCTCGAAAAACACTCGCCAAAGAAAATATAATTCAACAATGCTATTTACTCTGTACTCCGTAGGCAAAAACTAATACGTATAATATTAAAAACAGATTCATGAAACTGACAATTAAACGAAAACAAAGCATACAAAAATTTTAAACCGGGAACGATAATCTCTTAGCCTTTAGCCTCAGGAACAGAATTCCGTTAAATTAAGAAACCACGTATCACGCCAAATGAACGAAATCGCAACACACAGCAATGCAAAACGACATCCATAAATTCTTCTTTAAATTAAAAACCACCGGTTATTTACAAACAGGATATGCAGAATACATGATTAATATTTCGTTATGCTTTGTCAATGAATATTATCTGTACAATAGTTCACGTACATATGAATTTTGAAATTACCTTGGTAGCGGCCATATCGTTGAGGTACTGGAAGCCTTTGGGACACTCCATGACGTTAAATCCATCCCGGTCGATCACTTTCGCCTGGGCATTGCCGGAGACAACCAGCACCTGCTCCCCGCCGTTACTGAAGCTGACGTTGTGGATGGCATGCGATTCACAGGGTTTACAGGTGCGAAAAGCGAACAGGATTGGCCTGCATCCCGCCGAAATCCCACAGCTTCACTTCGTAATCAACGCTGCCCGTGGCGAATCGCGCGCCGACCGAATCCACATTCAGGGCGGTGATCTGCCAGAAAAATCATTCATCAACAAAAAGCATCCACCAAAAAAGCTTTTAATATTACTCAGAGCAAAAGAAAATTAGAAATTTCGATTCGGTGTGTTTGGACAATTTCTGTTCAATATTAAGTAAAGTCTAATCGTACAGCGGCTGTTTTGCAACTACCGAACTCCGTAATATACAATATTTAAGTACTGTACATTTTTATTTCAAGCTCAATAAAAATCAGAGTGAAATACTGATTAGTGATTACTAAAGCATATGATTCTTAAAAAAAAAACTGTTATAATTCAGTTCAATTTCATAGGCCGTCAAAATCGTCCTAATCAAGAGACTGTAAGGATGTGCATTCGGAAAAGCTCAGTCCCTTATTCTACGATTTCACTGCGCATAACTAAAAATCGTAATATAAAACACCTAAATATTCGTATTTTGCAGTCAGAATGCGTGTGCAAACAGTGAAACTTTCAAGGCTACCCATAAAAGCAATAGCAGCATCGTAAGTTCACGAATCACAACTAAAATAACCAAACTATAACGACTGACACATTCACACAAAACATACGCTAAAAGTCAACAACTTCAAACATCGAACGGTACGAAACACAAACCACATTTAATCAATAAATTTGATACTTATTGTTCACCTGATCGGTTTTACGGAGGCTGATTAGAAACAACGGTAAACCCGAGTAAATGTTCTGCGTAATGTAAAACTGCACCTACATCAACGAAAAAATTTACTGGTGCTTACCGCCTTGTCGCCGTGTTCGAAGGTGAGATCATACGAACAAGGAATCCGGAAATCCCCTCCCCCCACATCCCCGCTCTCCTCGTCATCCGACACATCGGAATTATCATCGGCCGCGTCAGATTGTGAAGATCCTGACGGTAACGCCGAAGAAGAAGCTGACGGGGGCGGGGATGGCCCCACGGTCCCGGAGGCGCTCCCGGGGGCCGCTGCCGGCTTCGGGGGTAGGGGTGGACCGGGTGCGTCGTCGTCGCTGTCGGATTCCGTTCCTTTGGATGACAGCGTGGCGTTCTGGCGGGCCTCGTTGACCAGGGTGTCAATGCCGAAAGTCCGAGATTTTTCGCACCTGAAAATTCCACGAAAACATTGCAAAATTCACGTCTATGCTATTTCAGTCTTAGCGATTTTACAACTTTGGACTACAATTTTATGGACATTATAAAAATAATAATACCCATTTTAAAAAAAAGTAATTTTCATTGACGAAATTCTTTAAAATTATTTTTATAATTTTTTCATTAATTTTTATGGACAGGAATTATAGACGAAAATACGACGAATAATTATAGACGAACACGAGCGTATGTTTTTATTTTTAAGAGCTGGTGAGCGCACCTGAAGCGAAACCAGAGAAACCCATCATTTTTGCCATGGTTTCGTTCTCGTCCTCTTCTTTGGCGGACGCTGCAGACGGTTGGTTGAGTGTGGAGCCAAAAACGTAGGTAGACGCTGCTGCAGGCTCCTCTGCTGTGGTGTGTGCTTCTTCATCGTCGTCGGAGCCAGCATCGCGACTAGGACGAAGTCCCACATGGAACTTGTCTGCATAAAATAACCATTCAGCATTAATTTTACGTAACAATCATAGCACATGAAAGACGACACAACTGTATTCTAAAATCTCAAACAGCCATTAACAATTTCAGTCACTGCTCGTACGTCGCAAATGGCGCATTTCTTCCAAATCGTCTTCTGCCATGGCGAGTATGGAACGCGTAACAAATATCAAAATAAATCAGGATGATCTACTGGCGCTTCTATGCTTCCAGTTTCGGTCCAACAAGATTATAACCCAGGAATCACATTAATACCAGGCTACCAGCATGAACACGAAGGTAGCGAAACTCAAAGAAGCTCACTTTGGAAGCCCATCGCTCATCAGGGTTCAAACTCCTTGAGATCGTGACAGCAAGCTTAAGCTTTGGGCTGCAACGCCAACTGATAGTGGTCACTGAATCAAATATTTAGTTTTCGAAAACGATCAAGATGAAATACTTGAGAACATTTTTGTTTTTGAAACCCTAACAGTCTCACAGTCAGAAACAAAAATTCAAAACTGACAAGTTGAAGTCAGTGAAGTCACAAGTGACGAGTGGCCAGCAAACAGAGTGTGCAGCAAAGATGCTCGCTACCATTTCCATTACATGGTTCTGCTACGATCCGTAGCCGACTCATACCCGGTTCCATTTCCAACACGGTACATGCAGCCGAGTTCCAACACCATTTAAGCGTACCGGAAAAAGCCGCATTTTCATTTGCTCACAGATCCCTTTATTCCCTTCCTTACGGGACAGGTTGCAAACAAAGCAATTTGTAATTTTATTTGTGGATGACGCGATGAGAGATTTTCATAAAGAGATTTCTGGGTTAAGGGACTCTCATCTCTTTTCTTAAATCATATTTTCTAATTGCCACCGTGAAGTGTTGGTCGTAATTTAACTACATGGCCCCCACACCGTGTTGAATTTATCCTGAGTTATATCACCATCCGTTTATCCGATGTGTGGATGATGGGCGACTCGGCCAAAACCCTCCCCGACGGCGCCATCGCCTTTCGGCCGCGCTCAACACCCTACAGTCTAATCCCGCAAATCCCCACCGCGACCGACAGCGCTCTAAATGACACCCTCACCTTGCAGCACACGGAGCTGGCCGCGCACTACACCCAGCTGCAGACGCTGGTGGAGCGTCTGGAGAAAACGCAGAAGGACTGCGTGAAGCGGGTGCGTCATCTGGACGGCACTTTCAGCGGGATACTGCACCGTCTGCCGGTAGAGAATCATGCCAAGAGCAACGGGGACGTCGGGACGGCCGCGGAGGGACGACGTGGGAGGAGCGCGGATAAGGGGCGCTGCGCGATCTGGAGGAGCAGGTCTTCGAGTTCCAGGTGTGCTTGGAGAGGAATCTGCAGTGTGTCGAGACGGCCATGCGGGATCTGGTCAGGAGACGGCTCAGACGGTAAGGAATTTGTAAGGTGGAAATAGTTTTAAGTTTTCTTGATTTTCACGGTGTAGGTGCTTTCGATGATTTGATTTCTTGAAATTCTCTAGGATCTCATGGTGGTTCTTATGCAGCCAAAATACACACAGTCGATACTCACCAATCACCATCGTATTCGTGCTTCTCGGAAGACCACTTTGATTTTACCATTAATTAGAATGTATCGTTGTGGAAAATATTTTCATAATTTTATTGTGTCAGTCTGATTTGGTTTGTCATTTGTATTCTGTAGATGCTTTCAGAGCAACCAGTACGGCGGCGTACTGAACACTTATTTTTTTTGCAACTAGAAAAAGCTTTTGTAACTTGAAATCCTTTTTTGTGTTTGTTTTCAGTTTTCTCAGCAAGCTAGTGATGTTTACAAGTAGGACAGAAGCTTTGGAATTTATAAAAGCATTTTCTGCTTACTGGTTGTCTGGTTAGCTTTGGTGTTTCAAAATGGTTGGAAAAACTTCGTGGTTGGACGTGGAAATATTGTAGTGCAGAGGCTTGTTTCTGCAGAGGTTATTCAAGTACAATATTGCTTCTGACTTTGCAGTTTGCATTAAGTATTGTTTACACACAAAATCGTGAGACTCAAGCTTAAAAATCCCTTTTTTGACTAAAGTTTTTGAAAATACAGTTTACAATAATTATAAAGTTTAGTCGGTTTAAATTCTTACTATCAAATATTGCTTAAACGCTTTGCTAATATGTATGGGCGGGTATTGCAGTTTTCTTCGAGAGTGAATCTGTTCCTCTGCTCTGTTAAAAAAACCATAGAAATCGAGGTTTACGATCGATAGGTATTCGCACCATAATCAGAGGAATCTTTTAAACATGTTTTCAGAAGGAAAACTGACAAATTAACAATCTTTGTTCTTTTCTAAAACAATTTGTTGTCCTACAGTGAATACGTGCAGACCCAGACGGAATCCACTTCCATAACCGCCCGCGATGTCGCCCTACAGACCTCGGACGATCCCTCTGCAGAAGAGGACAGTAGCGAGCGCATCGTGTATGCTCTTCCCGATCTGGAGGAGGCCGTGGAGCATCTCCAGATCCACGCGGAATGCCAGACGGATCTGGCCATGGAGCACTTCCTGGCCACCGTCAACGCTCCCTTCAGCGCCGTCAACCGCGACAATGTCCTCATTATCTACCGGAATCCCAATATCTACTCCTTTCTCAAACCCTACGCCATTGGGGTGGGCGGGACGGCGTTGGGCGTGGTGGTGCTGTATAAAGTGGTCAAAGGTCTGGTGATGCTGATGCGTGCATAAAAACAGTGTGGTATTCTGGTATTTTATGTGAAGTGTCAAAAGACAGCTACTGCTTCTGGATTATCGTACATTTGTTTCGTTTTTGCGGTGAGGATGAACTGGTTTGAATTAAGCGGAAATAAAATAAGCGTGCCTTTGGGTGATATTCATTTTGCACACTTCGTGGGATTAATTTTGAAGCGATGATAAAACAAATTATGGTACAGTAAGTAGCATTGATTTTCTGAGTTTGATTTTCTAAGATTTTATAAGTGTCTAAGGATCAGTCGTAAAAAAAATGTATACAGATATAGCCCTGGTTATAGTTTTTCAGCTCCACCAAATTTACTTTGGGAACTGGGATGAACGTTATTTTGATATCAACGTATTATTACTCTTTGTAATGATTATATTATTGCAATACATATCGTATTATTATCATCTGAAATCTGTATATATATTGCAATACATCATATTATTGCATTTAGTATCCTCTGTGGTAAACAGCTACTACAGATGTTTTTAAAGTGCTAGATATCTGTACATATATTTTTAAGCGCAAGATTCACGAAATATGATATTTTTCCACATACTTTTGCGAACTGTGCTTGTGACTGTCTTACTGTATTCTTGTTGTATCTACGCTGAATTTATGTTTCGGCTTTCGAGCAACGAAGTACTGTCGGAATTTAAAAATATTAGTTACAGAGAAAGCGTTCCGCACTACGGGTGTTTCAAGAAATACGTTGCAAATCCCATTCAGGAAAAATAGCTACTGCTTTGCGAAAGCGGGCGCATGTTGACCCTCAGCGTCGATGATTACACATGCCGATAAAATCACGACGTCTGCGTGCCAACCGTTGTCGCCGTATTAACTGCCACATTTACAAACTGAAACATCCATATGCGGTAACTTTTCCACACATCCGTGGGAAATTGTACCGTGTTTACGAGAACCAGCATGGGTAAACCACCGGCGCTTGGCAGTGACCTTTGGAGTCCAGCAACAAAATGAGTAATTATATGGTGCGACCAATAATCTTGCAATGAAATTCCGGAAGCTTCCATGAATAAACGGGGATTATTCCGGCAAATGTGTAATAGAAAACAATTCTGAGATGGATATCACGGAAATCCAAGCAGTATTTAATGGCCATTGAAAACCGTTAACAGCATAAACTTTCCTTCATCAAACATTTCTTTTTCAATTATTAACATTCTTCCAAAGTCATGTATCTAAAAAGCGGCGTATTAATTCTACTCTGTGCAGTAGCGACCCACGCCCGCCCCCGCCCCGATGAGGAGACCGTCCCCGTGGCGGTCACCGACTCCGCCGGCAACGCCGTCACCGAGACCTCCACTGTCCTCGTCCAGCAGACCGTCGTGACCGAGGTGGCCTCGGCCGTTCCCGTGGAAGTGACCACCCTCGTCCCGGTGGAAGGGGACACCACCGCGTCCGGCGCAGCAGAAGGGGTCACCGCGTCCGGCGCGGCGGCCGCCGGTGATAGCGTGACGCTGGGCTCCGGGCAGGTCGTCGTCCTCAACACCGCCTCGGGCATCGGCGGATCCGGCATCGGCAACATCATGATCGTGCAGCCGACCGTGGCGCCGGCGACGGTGGGGGAATGGCAGAAGGGCGCGTCGTATAATGCCGGGGATGTGGTGGTGTGGGATGGACAGCGGTATAAGGCGCTGCAGCAGCATAACGCCTACGCGTATAACTGGACGCCGCCGCAGGCCGCCTCGTTGTGGCAGCTGCAGAATGAAGAGGCCGCCGTGTAATGGGGAAATGCCGGCTGCTAATTGTACAGACTGCGTCTGATCTTCAACTGCATGTTTGTAAATTACTCAATAACAGTCCGTACTTGCATTTATTGGGTTATATGAAACGCATTGCTATCTATACCTAGTGCGCTAAGAAAACTCTGAATTTTCATAATATTCCTTGCATATTGTGTATATGTTACCGGTCATCGCGGCAATCAATAAAAAAGTACGAAGTATTTCCGGCTGATGAGTGATATTAAAAATATATAAAATAGCAAATGCACTTTGACCTGTGACCTTTGAAATGGCAGTCACATCGGTCATTTCACATGCGCTCTCATTACTTTTCCCGCCGCGACAACACACCGCAAACCATGCAGCAACACATTTTAAATTGTAATCATCATTTTGTATTGGTTTCACAGCTTTCTCGTAGAAGTTCAGGAATACAGTACTGTGAATTTAAGGGGTCGGCACAATAAAAATGATTACACCCTTTTAGCATCCACAATGCGAAAGAACAGCTGCTAATACTTCCCTTAAAAATTCTCACTAGCGCAGGATACATTATTAAAACTGATCAGTGTGCGTAACAGATTTCTCATACGCCTAACAGATTTTTTATACTCGTACAGTACTTATACCCATTTAATTTTCACAGTTTCACAGAAAAATATTTTTATTTCCCGCCAAATTTATTCTGTGGAAGTGTCTACTGTACATACATGCAAATATGTGTGTTATGATTTGGATAACATAATCTGCTACTAACGTGCTACATTTATACGCCTTCCGGAAACATTTCTCACAGTAATTAGAACGAACAGTGTACAGAATCTAGATATTTGGTTAATAGTTCTTGCACACTTTACGATAGTTTCATGACCGAAAAAAAACACTGAAAAACATGCACCCGATCAATGGCAATTATCGCATGATGCCACTTAATTGCCGGCGAGAACGTGCCCGTTATTTCAATAAATAGGAAGGTAATTGGCTCTTAATAACCGATACTTAACTGCCGTTCGATGGAACGATACGCGTGGACTTTTCGTCACTTTGTTGCTGCATAGAATCCAGAGCGTAGAGTTACTGTAATAACTCTACGCGCTGTTACAAATTACAGAGGGAAGATAGTTATTTCTAACGTATTTATGGTAGGTGGTCGGTACAGTGTTACTTTTATAGAAAAAAAGCAAAATCACTATTATCAGAAAAATAAATTAAGGAATCGAACAAGCCTACACAAAGGTGCGTGGTGAAAAGGTATACCGATTGATAACAATACACCATCGATTTATAGAGCATATCGTCGAAATTGAAGCGTTCCATTGGCATATATGACAGTAATGCCACTTTCGCGCAAGCGTTCAACGCGCTTGGGTTTTTGACACCGCCGCAGGGGTTTGTTACAAATTTTCCAGCGTTCCGAAAAGCCAACGCTACATTGTTATTCTAAATATACACGCCGGGTTGGACAATTACGGATATTATGCAGATTTATTTATATTTTATTGCGTCCGTTGTCTGTCAATGGATATGTGTGCAGGCGGCTGCCAATTATTATCCCGCCACGCCTCCTTCTGTCGTGGTACATGATGACACCTTCCGGCCGGATATTATACTGCGGGTGTCCGGAGTGGTGCTGGCGGTAGCCGACTGTACGAGCCGGTATTCCAGTGTGGTTAATGGGACGGCGCCCGGTCCGACGTTGCGGTTCAAGGAGGGCGATCGAGCGTGGATACGGGTGTATAATGATCATGACAATGAGAACACAACCATAGTAAGTAACAGCCAGCAAAAGCCGAAAGCCACATAATCTGTATTTGAACCTTATGTTTTAACGCATGTAATTTAACAGAAAACTTAATTGCTTGTACAGATATTAACTTATTGCCTGTTATTTTCTCTAAAATACGTTATTATTACGTCAAGTGTGTACGTTTTGAACACATAAGCTAACAGTATATAGTAATTAACATAATATTTTCACTGCGTTTTTCATAACTTTTTAACAAACTTAGTTATATACAACAGTAATACAATTACGTCTATAATTTTATATTAACGTCTACCGGCGCAGCACTATTATCTACTGTATAAGAATTAAGCGAACTGGATGTTACCGATTAAAGTGCAGCATAACGGGCAACCTAATATATTTAATAATAGGTTTTTTGCGACACCAAAAAGAAAATGTGTCGTATTTTTTAAAACATCCTATTCCGTTACAATCGGTTACAGTATATATAAAATAATTTAATAAATAAAACTATATAGGTAAAACATGCACACCTGAAGTTTCTCAGAATTCATCATATCAGTTAATACGAGGTATATTTTACAGAGGTGTATTTACAGAGAAATATCACTTTTTGCAGCATTGGCATGGATTAACCATGCGCACATCCCCGTTCTCAGACGGCACACCCATGGCCAGTCAATGGCCCATCCCGCCCCATCACTACTTCGACTACGAATTCCAACTGCAACCCGGCGATGCCGGCACCTACTTTTATCACTCCCACGTCGGCTTCCAGGCCATCACCGCCAGCGGCGTTCTGATCGTGGACGAGGCCGATGGCAAGAAACCTCCGTACGACTACGACGACGAACTGATCATCCTCTTCTCCGACGTCTACTTCCAGAACGACTCCTTCATGTTGAACGATTTAACCAGCCGTCCGTTCACGTGGAGCGGTGACCCGGATAACGTGGCCGTCAACGGAAAATCCCGCTCTCTTAACGCCACACAGGAGCAGCAAGGCTCTGGGTGTGAGATGGCCGTGCTGGATGTGGAGCCGAATAAAGCCTACCGGGTGCGGTTTATCGGGGGTACGGCGTTCTCTCAAGTATACGTCGCGTTTGAGGAACACGCATCGTTAGTACTGATCGAGATTGATGGGAAGTACGTCATGCCGCACGTGGTGGATCATTTAGAAGTTGTACCCGGACAACGTTACAGCGCTATTCTGTTCACGAAAACTGTTCAAGAATTAACGGGAGCCGATGGAAAAATCCGGGATCGCTTCTGGGTACAACTGGAAACCCGGTCACCGGACAATGATACAACAGCGTACGCGATTTTACATTATAAGGTTAACTCCAACCCGGTGGACACGTTCACACTGCCGGCAACGAAACCGTTGACCGTCGCTAGCGAAACCTTCACCGGTGGTTGGCTAGAGGATAAAATCCAGATGTACTATCCCGATCCGGGGAATCCATTCCCGCGGCTGGAAGAGGTCACCCGGCGGATCATTGTCAACGTCCAGGAAATTGTCACCAACGGGTCCATGGGGATCGGGGCGTTTTTCGAACAGTCCGGCTCGCCATGGTTCGAAACGATAACCAACACCATGGAACCGTATCTCGTGTCGTTATACCGGAATAACACGGCCAACTTCCCGAACTACGAGAGGGCGCTGGCCAACGGCGGTTTCGACCCGGTGACCAAGACCTTCCCGGCCAAAATGGGGGAGGTCCTGGAGATTGTGTGGTACCTGATTGGGAATAATTTCACCGGGACGGTGGAGTCGCATCCCTGGCATATGCACGGGGATCATTTTTACGACTGCGGTACCGGGAATGGGACGTACGATCCAGTGGCTAATGAGGCGCTGCTGGTGGCGCGACATGGGCGGATCACGCGGCGGGATACGTCGAATATATACCGCCCGGCACCGTCGGACCAACAGACGTTGGGGCCGGGGGCGGTGTATAGTTGGCGGGCCATGCGCATCCGGGTGCAGAATCCCGGGGTGTGGATGATCCACTGCCACGCCCTGCAGCATATGATTATGGGCATGCAGACGGTGTGGGTGTTCGGGGATGTTAATGATGTCACACCGCTACCGAAGGATTTAGTAGACGGGTATTTTACGTTTGGTGGAGCGGCGTACGGGAATGCCAGCCGTGCGCCACGGGTGCTGCATTACTGGCATGATTAGATTTTTGTGAATGGCTGCTTTCTCTGTGATTATGACTCTTTATGAGCAGTACCGAAGAAAACTGTTGTGTATTTACCGTGTACAATACAGATACAAATAATAAGTGCAACGTGTAATGGATGACTGTGCATTTTTGGCATTACCGGCAAAAAGCAAACTTTTCCAGGGTTATGCGGTGGATACAAATACAATCAAAATCAATGTTCCGATGTAATGCAGACATATCCAACAAAAGCTGTTTAACATAGCGATGGCAATTGGGATGTATGTGGGATATATTCCGGTTCAATGCACACAGTTTTTTGAGTTTATCATAAGTACGTACTTACATTTTTGAGCCGCGGACCCACGACGAATAACTGAGTACGTAATGTAGCTGGCTAAATTAATTACTACTAAGTATTTATTGGGTGTCGCATTACTATAGTGAACACCGGAGGTGCAGTTGTTGGATAAGCCAGATTGCTGCGTTATTGCTGATTTGCTAGCGGTGAGAATGACTTTGCACGATTTTCCCTGGTTCCTGAAACTGAGAAGGGTATTTATCGGGATTTCACCAGAATACCAGATAGCATGTGATGTTGTGATGCTATGCCTGAATTCCCGGCGGCTGACGGGAACGTGTGACCAGCGATCCGGATATCCGGAAAGGTCATTCTAACCATCGAATGATATGACATTGTGGTAAATACTTTTACGTGCACGCGGAGACGTTAAGGAAAAGCAGGCACAGGTGATCTCAGCCAAATGTCAAAACATGTTGGCACAAGAAGACGTACAAATTCCCGAAACCATAAAAATTTGATGGCCAATTAGATTGTTGTGTACTGTAATTGATGTGGCGTACGGATGCTGTGCGTTCTCCAGCACCGGCACGACGTGGATCAGGGGGTGCATGGAGAGGAATAACCGGCAAGCCCGGCTCTCACTAGAGTAAGATGCACAGCCGGCGCTTTGCTGATCTCCAGCTGCGAATTTCTGCGCGTTCCTATATCGCTCTCTCTCTCTCTCTCTTTTCTATTCGAGGATCCTAAAATCATGGCGAGCAAAACATTAATAGATCATTAAGTGGGTGCATATTTGAAACAAAGCAGTTAGATGAACAACATTACGTACACTTTAGGCACGTAATGTTGTTCACTGAACCGTTATAAATTTTTTATAGAAAACATAATTACCGATCTGTGACCTGCACATGCATGACAGCATAACGTCAGGTAGATCTGTAAACGGGACCCGCTAATTGCTCAACGAATGCACAGAGAGAGACGCGTAGTTCTTTTCCAGTTTAAAGTAAGGAACCCCTTTTTAATGTTCTTTATGCTGACGTCGTGACAGTTTGATTTATTGCCTGTCTGTACAATAGCCGCAATCCTTTCCTCATTCGTCAGTGCGATGTTTAATTTGTGCCCGGTAATTTCTGTTTCCGGTGCTGTCTGACAATTTTTTTCTGAATGAACGGGTAGGAAATTTCCCTGGTTCTTTGTTCCGGTGCCATGCATATGTTTCCCTGCATTATCTCACTTAGGTTATCATCTTGTAATCATAAGCCGTAAATTTTTCGACATCAGTAAAGCAGCAAGCCTGATTTCCGGTCTTCTTATCAACCCTTGTTGTGGACGGAGAACGCAACCCGGATTCAGCGTAATTTGGGGATAAACACAGGAAGAAACTGGCGTCCAGACGGCCTTGGTACGACCGGCAGGAAAATTATTTACTGCCTCGGTACAGGAGAATGTCTGCCGGGGAATTGCTCCAAGATAATTTAATTGCGATCACGCCGTCAAATGATAAATTAATCAGACGGCATCGTATTGCAAAACAAATTATCCCGATCCAGCGCCATATAATGTGGAACCCGGCATTCTACTTCACAGCTTTGAAAATCAGTGCCATGCGAATTCGACCGATACTTCGCATAGCGCGGTTGTTGCACCCGCTTCATCGCTTTTCTAGCGTTTCCAAGGAGATCCTTAACTTGTGCTTTATCAGCCACATAGCGAATACTACACATCATGGAAATATTTAACAATACATCCGTTTATCATAATACCACGGTGACCTTTTCATTCCGCGAACTGGCTGGAACCCTCTACTGATTCTTCAGTTATCCATAGCTGTTATATCCGTTATCTTAAACGCCATGATGCTCGTCCTGCAGTTTCTCCCGCAAACCCACGTGACCTCTTTCACTATCTACCTGATTGTCATCGCTACCGGGAATATCGTCATCATGGTGGTCATGCGGCCCATCGGTGTGATGAACTCTTACACCGGCATCTGGCCAGGCGGACGGCCACTGTGTGCGGCATACACTTACGCTCAGTTTGTCGTTAGTATGATCCCCGTACTCCTGCATGTCCTCATCGCCGTCAACCGCTTATGGGCGGTGACCTACCCCGTCCATTATCGTGCGCGTCACAATAAAAAAGTGGCTTTATTGCTATGCCTGGGCGTAATGGTCTACGTCCACATGGTGCACTTTCCGATTTTCTTGCTAGAATTCTACTATTTCGGTCCAGCGGGGAAGCAGACGGGCTGCCAGCCGGGGGAGGGCGGGATCATACAGTGGCGTCGCGCCGATTTTATTATCCATCGGATCATGCCGCTGTTTACCATTCTTACTATTTACATCTACGTCATTATTAAGCGCTGGTTGAACCGACGCATTATTGCACACCAACCGGAAACGCATCCTAGTGCGGATGCTGATACGCCGAACGCTGATACCGCGGGGAGAAAATCTATAAGCCGCTTGAATCGCCGACAGCAGGATGGCATGGGTATACGACGCCGGACAGTGAAGCCGTTTATCGTTTTGGCCCTGACGTCCATCAACGTTATTGTCTGCTGGGTCCCGGCAGATACCGACTGGGCGCTACTATATTTGAATATGCGACCGCCGGCCTGGGCGCACACCTTAACGGGGACTTTGTACTCGTTGCAGATGGTGTTCGACCCGTTGATGTGGCTGTTCAGCGTACGATAACACCTGCTCATCAATAGCTACCCTAGCGTTAATTTCTTGTTTCGTTGTGCCGAAAAAATAACTGCATCACATCTCTACCGCTGCATCTGCTCTGCTCTGGCATATCTGCTTTAGACTAAATAATTCAATTTTTGGTACGGGCCTACAATAATCTGATTAATTGCTTCAGCTCCGTCTTTTACCCGTAGTTATTTCTACGGTTACTCGCTCTTGGTAGTTATTACAAATGTAAAATGTTTACGTCAAATAAGTACAGAGTGTACATGGCACCCGATGAAGAACAAGCAAAGGGCTTACAGAGTTGGCGTAATGCGTCAATCTTTTTCAAAAGCTTCTAGGGTAGTCTAGATTGAGCATTAATTTCACTCACAAATTTCTTTTGCCGATCGGGGACTCCGTATAACAGCCAGCGCTGCGCTTCGACGATCTCAAGAATGATCACATCAAAATGCATGTACTCCTTAAACACATAAACACGAAAAGTGATTTGTATTAACCTTGATTAGATCGTGGACAGCGTCACAAAATTACATCGAATAAATCAAACATAACCGGAGTTATCAAAATTGTACATATACTCAAACCATTTAGGAAAGCAAGAAAATAAATAATTTATTAAACATAGCTGTTCACCAGTTCGTGTTATCAATATCATGCAACGGTGCCGCTCGATTTTAACTTGCACCGAATACAAAACCTTTTCCGCCAACATATACAGCGTCTTCCTGCCCAGGCAATATTAGCCACTGGTCCGGGGAGGAATGGAAATAGTGCCGATAAACACTCCTCCGGGGTGTATACGCGTACTCCATTGCTGACGGTCACGTAAATGTTGCCCTTCTCATCCACTTTGACCGTATCCGGCACGCCCACATCGGTCCCCGTGGAAATGGGATCCAGCTCGGTCAGAACGGGAACACCTTTGTTGCCTTTGGACATGGCGAATACGTGCACGACAATGGGCACGGTGGCATCTGTGGAGCCGTTTCCGATTTGGAATCCTATTTGTTCATAAAACTGTCAATCGCACCTGCTAATACGGCAACGTAACGTATTGTACATACATATGATTAACGATACTACAGTCGAGATGTAACTATTGTTTACGTTATTTACCTGAATTAGCGACGTACAGTCGCGATCCGTCAAGGGAAGGCGAAAGTCCATTCGGCCGGTAATTAGGAGGGAACTCCCAAATGCGTGTGACATTCAGACTTCTTTTGTCGGCAAAATAAACAGAAGGCGGCAACGTGTTCTTTGGTCGGAAGTTTTGATAGAAACCATAAGGCGGATCGGTGAAAAAGTAGCCATCGTACTGGTCGCTTAATACAACATCGTTGGGACTACTAAAATCCAGATTTGGCTGTAGTGGCTGCAAAAGCAAAATGCAAAGTGAATTAATGATATTTTTTTGGCAGCAATATTGCGAAAGCATTTCACTGACGATTTTTGTAGCCACTAGTGTTTCGATATTCAGCCTCATCAACGAACCCGATGTCGCGTTATATCCTTGCGAACAGTAGACAATCTCGTTCCGATTGATGCGTGCGCCTCCATTGGCCATCAGAATCGGGGGATTGGTTATCACTGTGACCGGCATTGCGTTCGGCGTCGCCACATTCAATTTAGAAATGCGAATATGTTCTTCTCCATTGCTGTTAATAAAGCGGTTGGACGAGAAATACAACTCGTTGGTGGTCTCCACAAACACCGGTCCTTCGTGAAATATCGCGTCGTTTGACTGGGATACTTGCCTAAATGTGTTCATGTCCACAATGTCCGATAAAGACACTGCCGGGTTTCCGGCATAGTTTTGTGGGGCCGCATATGCGGACGGTAATGCATAAGTCGGTATACTTGCCGGGGCAGATGGATAGGAACCTACCAGAGGGACCGGTGATGGAGGTGACGGATACGGTATGGGTGGGCCATGTGGTATCTGATAAGCTGGTAACAGAGAAATTTGATATCGTGGATAGAGTGCCGGATTTTGGTACGGGATGGGTTGCGGAACAGCATAATGCACGTCGGGAGGGGCATGATTGTAAGGATAGTAACTGCTATTGACCGGAGCTTCATTATAAGGGTACCAGCGCCGTCTGGGTAACGGTGCATAAGGGCCGGGATAATTCTGACTGGTACCTCGTCAAACAACAAATCTTGCATAATTAACATCTATCGATGCATTTCATGCGTAAGTTATAATGCTACTCGTATAAAGTATTATAAATTTTGTTACTTCCAGCTGGACAACAGTACACAAACCTCCACCGCTCTCCTTATGGGATTGTTGTTTAATTATCACCTGGTTCTTTTCAATAATTAACAGTATTCTTCAGAAAAAACGGTTATATTATGATATGCATGTTTTTTTGCAATGTCTAAATATACTGCCGATTTTTCATACAAATTTCTACATATTTACCGCTACGTAAATACGCACATCCTTTTATTTGCATTTATGTCTACCTTGAACGCGGACAATGTAAGATCCATTCATAGCCCGCTGTAGTAGTGGGTCATACGTCACCGGCTTATAATCAGAGTTTGTTGGCACTGGAAAATAACTGGCACCGCCATCGCTGTTCCGGTTAAGATATCCGGCGTTATAATAACTTAACTGATGATTCTCTGACAGGATAACACGTAAAACATAAGAAATAGCAATAAAACAATGCCAGTATAATTTCACAAACGTATAACGATTTCCCATCCTGATATTGATGTACTGGTACATTTACTGCGTATGGCTTGTAGCTGGATGATCAAAACCCGCAAAAATTAGCAAAATTTTCACTGGACGCAATTGAACGCCACATTAGTGCGATGGCGTTGCGGTTCAAAAAACCAGGTTCAAAACACAAGCGATCATTTACATTTCTGTACAAAAAAGAGGTACGAGCATGACCTTTGACACATTGCGGAGACCGATCGACTGTGAATCGTCAGTGCCACTATGGAATACGACTGATCTTTAATGCGATTACGCCTCCGGAATGATGCATTTACATACTGACACATGTTCGTAATGCTGAATTAAACATTAGCATTAAGCCCAAATATTACTTACTCTGTATATTATATGTACTGTACTAGTGCCTCCGGAATGATGCATTTACATACTGACACATGTTCGTAATGCTGAATTAAACATTAGCATTAAGCCCAAATATTACTTACTCTGTATATTATATGTACAGTACTAGTACATCAGCTGCAGCTATAATTACATTATATTACACAAAAGATACTACACAAAAACTCATAAATCATTATGTTTATTAGTTAATATGATAATCATATTTGATTTGTTGATATTGTTTTCGTGACGCTGTCCACTATACTCAAGCTTAATAAAGATTTATACTCGTATAATCATTTGTCTGTATCCAGTTATGAAGTAAAATTGTTGGACTGACGCTTGATACTTGATAGTTGCTGGGCACGGTTTTGCTCGACTTGATCGTTTCTTATATTCAGTGTTATTCGCTGCATAGTTACTGGAATGCTTATTACTTACGTATAACTGTAAAAGTAAACCCGCGCAGGCGTATTGTTTATAACATTACTTTTATTAGTGTAAACCCGCGCAGGCGTATTGTTATGTGTAATGGCAGATGCATAATGGCAGATGGAGAGACTGTATAAGTTAACCACTAGCATAATCTGTAGTTTGTGTGAAAACATTTTTACGAGTCAGATACATGACCTGCATCCGTAATTTTGTATGAGTACATGACACATTACAAGTTTCAGTTGACAAAAAACAGGGTTGCGCTTATGTTGTGTGCATTTCTGAAATTATTATGAGTCTTTATTGAAGTTGCTTCTGTGAAGCAATCTGTTTAATTCTACTGTTCGTTGCTGTGTTGCTAAATGCAGTCATTGCCGCGCTTATCTCAAGAATCAATGTATTACTTGAACGCCTGTGCACGAAATTGCCTGTGCACGAAATTTTAAAAATTTATAAATAATTTTGGAAAGGAAAACATTTATTGTATCACCAGTTTGTGTTATTAATATCATGCAACGGTGCCGCTCCGTTTTTTGCTTGCACCGAATACAAAAACGTTTCCGCTAAGATGTACAATGTCTTCCCCGCCCAGGCAATATTGGCCACTGGTCCGGCGGACGGAATGAGGATGGTGTCGATATACACTCCTCCCGGGGTGTACACGCGGACTCCATTGCTGACGGTCACGTAAATGTTGCCCTTCTCGTCCACTTTGACCGTATCCGGCACACCGACGCCGGTGCCGTGGAAATGGGATCCATCTCGGTCAACACGGGAACACCCTTGCTGCCTTTGGACATGGCGAAGACGTGCATGACAATGGGAACGCTCGGGTCCGTTGAACCGTTGCCGATTTGGAATCCTAGTCGTTGATAAAATTGTCAATCCTACATGCATGGGGGCGCTTAAGAGAAAACATGTATTGAAAAAGTCTTGTACCTGAGTTGGCGACATACAACCGAGATCCGTCGGCGGACGGCGAAAGCCCATTTGGCCGGTAGTTCGAGGGAAAAAACCAAATGCGTGTGACATTCAAACTTCGTCTGTCGGCGAAATAAACAGCAGGCGGCATGGTGTTCTCGGGACGGAAGTTTTGATAGTATCCATATGGTGGATCGGTGAAAAAGTAGCCATCGTACTGGTCGCTTAAAACAACATCGTTTGGACTGCTAAAATCTGGGTTTGGATCTGCGGTCCCGAAAGGCCGCACAATTTGCAAAGGCTGCAAAGGGAGCAAAAAGGTAAGTTAAATCCTACCTACCCATGAACAGCATGTCACTTACGATTTTTGTAGCCACGAGTGTTTCGATATTCAGCCTCATCAATGATCCCGGCGTCGAGTTATACCCTTGCGAACAATAGACAATTTCCTTCAGATTAATGCGTGCACCTCCATTAGCCATCAGAATCGGGGATTGGTTGTCACTGTGACCGGCGTGGCATTGGGCGTGGTCACATTCAGTTTGAAATGCGGATGTTCTGTCCACCGCTGCTGTCGGTAAAACGGTTGGACGAGAAGTAGAGCTCATTGGTCGTCTCCACAAACACCGGTCCTTCGTGGAATATCGCCTCGGTTGACTGTGATACTTGCTTAAATGTACTCATATCTACAATGTCCGATAAGGACATTGCCGTGTTCCGGCATAGTTTTGCGCGACAGACAGGCTGACGTGCACCAGAAAGGTAAATATTTTCCAGAACATTGTCGCTGTTGGAAGGAGCAGGAAAGATGTATCGTCGAGGCTTTGCTTGAATATGTACAACGTCTAGTTTTTGTGCATGACGGTATCAATATCAACGTCTAGTTAATGATATACTGGGTATATAAACAGGTTTTTCAAGCTAACTTTGCAGAAGCTGATATTGCTGAAATATAATGCCGATCCTTGTTCAAAGCGTATTATTGAATGAACAAGATGCGGTGTCGGTGTACGCGAAAGGTTTTTGTCTGTAGAGTGCCATTTAAGCGATGGTCTGTTTCCACAAGCGGTGATTTATTTTCTTATTGTGGCATAAACGCCGATTTGATAACTCTATTTGTACTTGCACAACAGATTGCTACAACCGCATTATGCCATCATTGGGTTTGTAATAATTTGTTTGGTGTCGTAAAAGCACTTTAAGGTACGAGTACATTATGCAGCCACCCAGTTTTAAAACCCCCGGTCAGACGCTGCTTCGGAAAACCGTTACAACAGTACGATTTGCCGAGAATCCAGTTGCTATCATGCTCTATTATCCGCTCTAACTGAAATACCCAGACCAAGTACGGTATTTACGTACCCAGACCGAGTAAGTACGAATGAAGATGTACGAGTATTTTGTCCCCTTTCAATCGATTTTCACAAAACATGATAAAACGAGAAAATCATTATTCACGAATTGCCATTTTAACCACCAAAAACACGTGTTTACTCTCTTCTATGCCTTCGATACTGCCAAGAACAGACACTACAATCATTTCCTCTTTGAATTTCAGCACTTGATATAAAACCATCTAAATACCGATCTACAGTACAAGGGAATACGTACACAATAATAACATACGGGTAGACTTAAATTTTTATTAAATTCACAGAATAAAAAGCAGCTTAATAAATCTATCACCTGAAACGTTCAGGTAAATGCACTACATGTCTCTAATATGAAACATACGCAAAAGAAACCGGGAGTGGAATAATAAACAGGCCCATAACATAAATCACCTGATCTGTGTCCGACCTAACCTATCTTCAACTACCAAACGACATGCGGGCAATTGATCATCAGCTTTTAAATAGAATTAGCTAAGCTAATTCCGGTTAACGCAGCGGAGGCGATCGCAAGGCTGGACGACTTGGTTGACCAGTGTTCAGCCAAGAAAACCCATTAGGGTGTGTCTTGGGATGCATATCCCGATGCTGTATAAGCAATGCAGTTTCGGTTGTGGATGTTTCATGTGTAGTGATTGTGCATTTCTGTTAGTGCATTTTCAGTTCCTGTTGTGTTGGAGTAAAGGTTGTTCTCGTGTAACAAGTTGTTCTTCCTCCCGCCCACCCTCTTTGGAGAGAGGGGGGGTTATTTTAACAAGGACGGCGGGGCCGGTTGCGCCGGTGTCCCGTGTTCCGGTGCTAGTGTCTTCACCCAATGCCCAAATAAAATTGAATCGTTACGCGCTGCTGTTGTTCCTACCGTAGACTGCGTTAAGAGCCCATTATTCACTATTGCAGTACTCCTATATTGCTCTTACACGCCACGCGAGAACACCAAGGTCGGCTCGGAATTTACTTCCTTTGGGCAGTTATGCCGAACATGGCCGGAACCGGCCCCAAGCCATCACAAACACAAAAAAAACGAAGAAAAAATTTTACGCAGCAAGTGACACATATTAGCGTTTAACATTTCCAAATTTATACCAATTCAAACACTCATACATAACTGTAACAGAGAGACCACTAGAAAGGGGTGTGCCGTGTGTCATAAGCAATACCCGGATTCCTGCGTCCTCTGCATCCAATCCGTACAAGACTGCCGATTTTGCTGCTTGCCAGAAGACGTTTCTGTTTTTATGGTTTTGCGTGACAAACAATCAAACACTAGATAAATCATAAATATCGAGAAACTTGACAGTAACGGTTTGTGTACTTCGAAATCACGAGAGCAGTGTCACGTTTTTAATGCGAAAACGAATAGAGATCGAGTATTCTCTTGAAAATCAACATTGTTTGCCATCCAGCAGGTGGTTTGTACTCTGAAAAACAATACTCCGATTACATTTTTAATCTCCGCTTTGACACTGACCTTACTGACTTGTCGAGCAAGTTCGTAAGGGCACATGCCAGTATGACGAAGTCAGACGGATGTTTACAAACTGATTGAATTATTAGACAAATTTCAAAGGGAGACTGAACCCACAGTATGACATAGTTTAGCAGTGGTCGAGAAATTTAGTTACAGACGTAGTCTTGTGACGGAGCACGTCTACAGTAAAATGACCTTTGTAAAAGACAGAAGAGAGAACGGACCCTCGAATCGAATCTTTCACTTTGCAATATGACACCCAAAATAATATTTTGACAGCACATGTTACAGCTACTAACTGCAATCATAGAATGACTGCATAGGTTCCGTAACATTAGGTCGAAGAACGTTCGTATTTCCAAATTCCACGGTTTTCCGGCACAAAAGTTTTAAAGCTCCTCAAGCCGGAGCTTTTGTTTAGATTCATTTTATTAGCACGCGTACAACTCGGCAGTTTTCTATTACGTCATATATGGCTTTTTTTAACAACACCACGGCTCAGAACGCCAGCCAGCCGGCCGCTGCACAACTGGGCTGGACACCGTTACTGCTGGCATCCACAACCATCTCCTGTGCGTCCTTCACCTGCAACGCCATCATGCTGCTTCTCCAGTTCCTACCGCAGACACTGGTCACATCTTTCACCATCTACCTCATCGCCATCTCCATCGGGAATATTTTATGGCTGGTCGGCGTGCGGCCGCTCGCTGTTTACAGCTCGATTACGGGCGTATGGCCTGGAGGTCACGGCGTGTGTGCAACGTACACGTATTTCCAGTTCGTTATCAGTCAAATACCCGTACTCATCCATGTCCTCATCTCTCTCAACCGTCTCTGGGCAGTCAGCTATCCCGCATCGTACCGGCAGTTCCATCATAAAAAGATGGCAGTTCTACTTTGTCTAGCAACTGTGGCATACGTCCACGTCGTGCATTTTACCATGTTTTTACTTGAGTTCTTTCACTACAGTCCAGCTGTTAAACCGAGTGGTTGCCAGCCGGGTGCCGGAGGGATACTCAACTGGCGACGGGTCGACATCATCATCCATCGCATCATTCCTCTTTTTCTGGTTTTGGGTATCTATATCTATATAATCTTTAAACGCTGGATGAAGAAACACGAGCAACAGGCTGTAAATCCAGCGTCCAGCCAAAATGCTACAGCTAGTACCAAAGCTGCGGGAGAAGCCGGTGGTGTAGAAAGGTTAGCAGGGATCATGCAAGCAGGACGACGTCGTTCGCTAATCAAGCGGCGTCAAGTGAAGCCCTTCATTATCCTGACTGCTACGTCAATAACGGTTTTCATTTGCTGGGTCCCGTCGGATGTTTACTGGGCACTGACTTATCTGAACTTTCGACTGCCCTATTGGGTATTTAATATAACATCGACGTTGTACTCTCTGCAAATGTTTTTTGACCCCATAATGTGGCTGATCAGTCTACGATAACAGTACCCCGTGCATTTTACTCGAAAAGATGTTTTATTGGGTTATTCAAATCAACGTTGGTTAAACACAAGATCACTTAAGCACTGGTTAAACGCCAGATCACGCAGTACAAGTATTTCTTTTCCGCATATAATACACTTCGTCCAAGACTCCAAACTCTTACCGCTACAGAACGTTTCGTGAACGCAAGCAGCATTGCCTTGCATTAAAGCGACATTAAACATATTTATAGATTAGGTGCATTTTTTAAAGTTGAATAATGTATTGTCTTAATGATTTGTCAATTTCGAATAGCAAGAGTTTTTTCTTGTGAAATAAATACAATAGATCACACGTTAATGAAGATTTTGTCCATGAAAACATGTTCTTGAAATGGGTCGATTTAAATGATCAAAGAGGTAGAACGCGCTATACGTTATGGACACCCTACCGGACTCTGACGGCATATCCGAAGTGATTTTGGTGTAACTTTGAATGTCATTTGCTGTTACCGCATACGATAATTGGCATGCCGCAGTTTATGGTAATGCAAAATTTTCTAACATTGTCTGTGGGTGCCAAGTACAGATATAACGCAACCATTTCAGGAATCAGCACCCCAGACTTTCTATCTGGAACAATAATAGCGACACCGAATGTGTTTTGAGCATGCCGCTCTTAATTTGTGAAAGACTAATCATGTACGTAATTTAATCGACTGCTCCTTCTGCCTTTGGTTCAGATCAATCGGGGATGAAATTCGTTAATCGTTAATAAGAACTAAAGATGCTGCTAACGTTCAAAGACATCGTGCGATCAAAAATGATCAAAAATCAGTGCTTAGAACCTAAGTAGGGTAAGTAATTAAACCGTAAGCGAAGTGGAAACAAGTTCTCGATCTCATATTGTAGTGGGCTACTGGGCTCAGTGGGCTAAATGGGCTACCTGCTCTGATTCGAATTTAATTAAATTAATTAAATTAAATTAAATTAAATTAGTAATGTCTAAACACGATGCTTCAAAATCTACGCGTATACGGCGTATTTAATTAATAAATTGCACACATTTCGAATTGCAATACAATGAATGATGCAAGCAAAAGCAGTTAAAAAGCCAATATCACGATACCATGGGCGACACGCTTTTAAGGTGTGGCTAACAAAGCCTGGACCAACGTAATGCATCTTAATGTAAATTTACTGGCGCTTTGACCTAACCTTTAAACGCTTGATTTTTCTTTTTCGGCATTACCATAGGATAGTTTTGGGATAATCAGGGGCGCTGAAGAGAACTAAGTGGTATTACTCAAGCTCTTTTACTTCAGGCTTAAAAGCCACATAAGCGGGTCAAAAATTGTTTGCAGAGCCGTCAGAATAATGCTGACGTTGAAAGCCCAGAAAGGCATTTGGATGCCGGCGTAGAGCATTGCCCAGTAGATATCGGCGGGAAGCCAGCAAACCAGCACGCTAAGCGTCGTCATCGTCAGGACCAGAAACGGTTTGACCTTTCTTTGCCGAGCATACTTCCTTCTCAGTCGGCGAGACCTCACTCCCTCTGTGGCACTTGCCTTCGTCTCGCTGCCACTAACTCCTTGGCTCGTTCCAGCGTTGCTATCATTATTAACCGCCCGCCTGTTCTTCCAGCGCGTCACTGTCATGTAAATATAAATCCCGATCACCAGCAGCAGCGGAATAAACCGGTGCAGAACGATATCCGCGCGTCGCCACTCCAGAATGCCTCCCGCGCCGGGTTGGCAGTTGTTGTGTCGGCCGGGCGGACTGTAGTAGAAGAATTCCAGCAAGAAGAGGGGGAAGTGCACAAGATGGACATAAGCTACCGTCCCCAGACACAGTAACGCCGCCGTCTTTTGGCTGTGGTGTCGCCGGTACGAGTGAGGATACTGGAAAGCCCATAGACGGTTCACCGAGATGAGGACGTGCAGGAATACCGGGATCTGCGTGATGACAAACTGTACGTACATGTACAGGATACATACGGGTTGGCCGCCGGGCCAGGCGCCCCGGACAGTGTTGATTACGGCGATGACCCGCATCACGGCCAAACCGGGAAGATTACTGATGCAGATGAAAATCAGGTAAATGGTGAAGGAGGTTAAGCGCATTCGCGGTGACAGTTGTAGCAGCAGTATACCTATGTTTAGAATGACGGCGATGGCAGCAATGGCGGTCAAGAAGCCAAGTATGGGATTCCATCCGGGTCGGGTGCCGCCAGACTGCGTGGCATTAAACTGGCGAAATGTTGTGTTATTAGCGGCATCCATCAGAAACAGGTTTTTTTCAAATATTGATAAACAAACGGGAATGCACTGATATTTGTAGATGGATGGTGACAATCTCGAGCTCCAAATATACAGTAACTGCCGTCTTTAGTAGAGACAAAAGGATCGCGGAAACTGATTTGTAATTTTAATTGTGCTCAAATGAATTTCGATGTTTGCATCAGACCCTGGATTCCGGAATATGAGGATGTAATCCAAATGAACCATGAGAAAGGAAGTTAATTTCCTGTATGAATTAACAGAAAAGATAACAGCCTACACATGACGCGCGTGGACATTTACTGCGCTTGTCTGTCTGAGAATCAATGAGATTTGCGGTAATATTCCAGGCCAAATAACAAGACATTCAACGACGACTGCCATGCTATAATTATGACCTTTTTGATGCTTACGCAATAACATATCAAAACAATAGATGCAATCCGAAAACAAGAAAAAAACCAGCTGGTGATCGCTTTGTGCGGGAATCAAAGAAAACCGACCTTATGACGCACTACGCCGCCGATAAGAAAAGAAAGTAATCCGCTCACTTCTGCTCGTTTGCATAAGTCTTACGTATACGTAGATGTAGAGTGTAGAGATATCGCAATTGCAAGGCTAACCGCTTGGCGTACGCAATCGATTTCCTGCTTATGCACTGGGATACGGTCAAGACTACAACGGAGGTATCTGTCTCCGCATTTGTCAGTTCATTTTTAACCAGCTCCTCCCAGCAAGAATTCTATTATGTGGTTACATCATTAATTGGATCGTTTAGTGGCAGTTGCCGGTGCCGACGTAAACAAGCCTATCGGAAAGGAGGTAAACCATATTTCTTTTAAAAGCTGTCCAATATTCCGGCATATTTGAAAAGGCAGCATTCAACGGTACGATACCAGTATCCGGGACAACCGAGATTCTGTAAAGTAGCCGTAATTACGGCAGTCATGGCAAGCAAAAGTATGTAGCGGTTAAAGGTCATCCTGACGCTGTTCTCATGTTAACACTCGAACAGTGGCTGGCCAAACTACTTTCGCGGACCACCTATTCCAGACATCCGATCCATCGTCTCCAGCACTCTTATAACAACAATCGTGCACGGTTTTTCGCTTCCTGGAAAAGTGATAGTGGCGTAAGCGCTTGTATAATCAAGCTAATTAACGCGTTAACACAAGTTAGCAGCGTGCAAATCCGTACAACGAGCTCGTTGTACGGATTTGCAAATTAGGTTAGCTGAACAAATTAGGCTCGAGCCTAATTTGTTCAGCTCATCCCTGAATCAGCGGAATATAAGACGACGGTCATGTGATAGATGGGCTGGAATGCTGGCATCAATTTCCTGATTTCTAACGGCTAAATGTCACCGGATTTTGGAATACGGTAAGAGGATTTAACTGCATACCGCAGTATAGGACAAGGTCATGGTTCTATTGCAGATACATTCCGTAAAATCGTCTACGTGGACGTTGACCTTTCATTAGAGTTCTCCTAATTGTCCTACAGTGAACCGGTAGCTGAATAATGAATTCCACTAGCAACACTACAATTACCTTCAACACCACTCAGCCGGCAGCTGCACCATCAGGCTGGACGCCCGTCCTGGTCATGATGGCCCTCATTGCTGGTATCTCATTTTCATTAAACGCCGTCATGCTCCTGCTACAGTTCCTCCCGCAAACCCGCATCACATCCTTCACCGTGTACCTGATTGCCATATCCATTGGAAATCTCGGCTATTTAGCCATCGTCCGGCCGATCGGGATTATGACCACCGCAACGGGAGCATTCCCCGGCGGTTTGGCATTATGTATGTTTTACATGTACGTGCAGTTTGTCATCTGTCAATTGCCGGTACTGGTGCACGCCCTCATCTCCATCAACCGGTTCTGGGCGATCAGGTACCCCGTATCCTACCGGCATCGTCATCATAAAAAGATGGCCATTTCGTTGTGCGCCGGCGTGCTGCTGTACGTCCACGTGGTGCAGTTTCCTATGCTCATGGTGGAATACTTAAGTATCAGCCCTATCAAGGAAGGTTGCCAGGTGACCAGCGCCTCGTGGATGCCCTGGCGCATCGCCGATATCGTTCTGCATCGCTTCGTGCCGCTGATTCTAGTCATCGGAATTTACATCTACATTATTGTCACGAAATGGAAAAAGAAGCGTGCTGTTGATCACCACGAAATGAGCGCCGTCTCCACGCAGAATGGCACAGTTTTCACGAAGGCAGATATTGTCGAGGATGATGATGAAAGGGCCGCCGAAAAGAAACCCAAAGGGAAGAAGTCCCCAGGGAAGAAGCGGCAGGTTAAGCCGTTTATCGTACTAACGATGACCTCAGTTTCCGTGCTGCTGTGCTGGATTCCGCGGATGTGTATTGGACGATGCTGTACGTGGGATTCCGCCTGGCTGGGCCTACACAATAATCAGTACTTTATACAGTCTGCAAATGATTTTCGACCCTCTGATGTGGATGATTAGCCTGAAATAACCGAGTAGTGCTATACTGTATTATAATTTATAAGTACCTAGTTCGTAAATTTGCTGATCGAGTATTGCTGTCTACTTTTGGCTGGCGAACCTTATCAGAATCTTAGTGGCTAATGGTGGCTCTTTCAGCTGTGCACACAATAATTACGGGTCGTTAATAATGCGTTCCTTTAGGTTTCTCGCGGATCTTTCCGTAACACCTGTGTCGTTTGAGGCACCTCACATACAGTACATGAAAAATTTTTGCACTTGA